TCGCACGTTTCTATGAATTTCGAATAGCTACTCACGGGCATTACAATACATTCCTATAAGAAATAATTTCTTCTTTCTACTTGTCACTCATGCATTAAATAACAATGCACAAGTTAGACTCACCGATTTATAATTTTGTTCATAACTACAATTCAAATTACAATACCCTTCATACATTATTGTGGTCTGTTGGTGCTCACTAATTTTTTCTCTAATCGCTACACTAATGATATGTCGACCCAATTTTTCTTTCTTCGTCCTATCAGAGATAAATCGAATTATACATACCGAATTATAAAATGAGAAAAAATGTAATAAGTAATAATAATAAGCAAATACAAATCGCATTCATACTCGCACGTTTATTACTTAACTCTTAACCCATTATATGAACCTCAGTAAATTATGAACTATATGTTAACAAAGTGTGAACATTCATTATAATATTTCTGTTGAACAATAGTAGTACGGCGCACTTGCGCTAGTAATTTTCATTTTTAATGGCACTTTGCTGGCACTGATTACAATATTTTGTAAAACGTACTTATGCAACTTAATACATGTACTGTATACGTTGGTCAATGGTTATGATGATAAAAAATGAATAAAATATAACACGGAAAAATTCCATTATTCAATTAACTACACTATTGCAATCATAATGAATCTCCAAATAACTTCTTTGAAAAAAATTTCGGTTACAGTTTCATAAATAATATATATATTAATTTATTTAGTATTCATAAAACATCTTGATTATATATTTTTGTTGTCATAGCTCAATTTCTTAATAGCATTATCATCTGTGAACATTCTCTTTTTTTTATTACAAAATCTATGATACAAATATAAAAAAAATTTATATATATACAAATATAAATAAAAAATATATAAAGTTTGTACCAACAAAATTATTTTTAATAACACGTGGACAACGATTTTAAAATTTAAAACATTTAAATACAATTGCACCGCTTTGGCTGAAGTAATGTTGCGTGTAAAATTTATGCGTTTACCACCATAAACCCATATTTTGTTATATTGAACAAAATGACCAAGTACTATTACTTTTATCTCTTGATGGGTAAAAAGCGGAAATCAAATGGATATAACTAGTTTAGAAGCCATTTTTAACTTTTAAGTAAACTTCTTTATAGTTTTTTTTTATATATAGGAGTTTAGTAAATACATTAAAGAAATAACAATAATTATTAAAAATTATTTTCTATTTAACCGATATTTCATTTTAAAATTATCGATTTATATAATTTTAATTAAATTATTTATCAATATAGATAAAAAAATATTTATCTTGATTAATCTGTTTATAATTTAACGTTTTTGATAGAAATTTAAGACTTGAGTTTTAATAAATAAAAAATTTTTTTATAAATTTGGTAGTTTTAATAATAATAGAATCATCAAATAAAAACAGGAAAAATATTCTATCTAAAAGATTTTTTGTATCTACCTTGGAAATATTTCGAGTAAATTTTGCATAAACAATTATACTTAATGTACAAAAATATTTCAAGATTAAAGTAAAAAATTAATACTTCCGTCATTTTAAACCATTTAGTTAACTTTAATTTTCTTTTTTTTTTCGAGAGAGAAAAAGAGAATGAGTGTTTATAAACATGGTCGTTAATTGATACACATTCATCATTAGAAATATTTTTTTAAATCTCATTTACTCTATCGCATTACTACTACAATCCCGATCTTAATTATGAAAATATTGTTATCATAAACAAATGTAGAATAAACTATACTATTCAGATAATATAATAACAGTTAATAATTGTGACCAGTAATAAATACACATAAAAAAATCTATTTGGTTCTTTATACCATTGTTTTTTTAGCGTGAGGAAATACTTAAGTGAACAATTTTTACATTTAGTCTCTTAGAATAAAATAACTCAAAATTTTAAAGCCATTGCTTCACTAAGTGCATCAATAAAATTTAATTGTCAAAGAGACAGTATATTTTAATTAAACCAAGACTTACAATAAAAATTGATCTAATGTTTAAATTCATCAATATTTTTTTTCCCTTATAAATTAATAATAACAGTGATACTTTTAACATTTATTTTAATAATTCAATCAAGTGAATAATAGTAATATACGTAATTATTATAATACAAAAGCTATTCATGTGTAGTCTCATTTCTGTATAAATCAAATGTAAAATACCAAGTGACTTCTTAACTGCCTCTCATACAATAGTTTTAAAGGTAGTTGAGCTAATGATTACTTTAATTTTTTAATAGTAATGGCTTTTTACTGATCTGTTTTATACTAAAATGCTTTTCTAATCGCTTATAATTTTAAACAGCTGTAACTCGTTGAAAATCAAATAACATATTATTTTCCATAAATCCAATTACACAAAAAATTAGGATTGTCATTTAAAGTTGATAAAAGTTTAGGGTTAAGAAATGGTATCAAAATAGTAATTTTTCTTCTAAAGTAGTCAACTAAACACAATTATTGTTGGTAAAATTAAAATAATGATAAGCTTTAATATTTTGGAAAATATTTCGTGACGCGTAGTTAAGGAATCGCTCTGTATACAAAGTTTCTCAAAATTATTACAAAATATTTTCAATGTGTTATTTAATATTAGTCTTTACCTATATTAAAAAAACAACGTACAGTGATTAATGTAAATCTCTCATGTTTTCTTTTATAAAAAAATTTTGGAATGTAAATATTTAAAAATATTCTTGCTATAGGTTTTTATTGGTATAATATAATGATAATTAAAATAACATGGAGGGACATTTAATTTCAAAAATTAATTTTAATCTAACTAACAATACACACAGAACCGTTAAAGTCTTCCATATCAGTAAAAAAAATAATATCTTAATCAAATAATCGAAAAATGAATTTTAAATCTAAATCTGTGTATAAATTGAGATCTTAATGTAGTGTAATTTTTTTTATTAAGTTCATTGTATATTAAAGAGCAATTTAAGTAATATTTAATAATGATATTATAAGTTGGTTTTTTATAAGTATTTTTTGTCGTCGCATACCTAAGGAATATCATAGAAAGGTTCAGTTAGAAATGATTCAGGTACACCAGACTTAAAAATTGACATAACACAAAAAGGATACCTGTGCGTTTATGTGTTTACGGTTTAAATACCTGTTGAAAGGCGTCTAATTCAATTTAGATTCTTACTACGATAATAACTATCATTGAACCATATAGATGTTTTGTGTGAATTGCAATTAATATAATAGCTAACGCTACGTTAAATATTTTGTTTGGTTTTAAGAATTTAACAGCAAATATGTCTTCGATTTCAATATCAATATTGTTTTTATATTGTACTATTTAAAGAATTCGAAATTAAAATAAAATTTAAACATTTTACTCTTTAATTATTATTGTTATGATAATTATAATTTTAGGTAAATTTTATTGGCGTGAAAATTGAAATATAACTATACGGCTGCGTGTAGTATATTTTCTATAAAACATGTTCCGGGTTTCATACAAAAAACATATTAACATAACTGTTACATGAGATTTGAGAGCAGTGTGCACTTAGATGACGCGTCGGTAGCTAAGGATATTGGACCTGATGTTGTTTATCTCCGTGAACAGAATTCTATAGGAAATGATGCGTGGAAAATTGTATAATTCGCAAACAATTATTAGTATTATTATTGTCGTTTGTGTCTTATCCGGCACACGTACATCTCGGGTATCTAATATTTAGAGACAACCTTTTTTTCAAGTAGCTGTTAAGCAAAAGAGAAATCGAAAACCCGTGAACAATTCGACGACGTCCATATATCATGTAAACTGCGTGTTTTTATTAATTTATTGCAAAGCGGATATGAAAATGTAAACCACTTGAGGTTTTTCTAAAATTGAAATTACTCATTTAGTCCTTTTCAAGTTTACTTCAATGTCTTCTTAAGTTCGAAAAAAACTGAGAAAAATCGGAATTTGGCCTAAAAACGAAATTGTTTACAGAGTTACTCGTCTGTAAATATTATGTATTATTCTTAATGGTTTAAAAATGATAATGGCTGACATGATATGACTTTGTCGCAGATTAACTTTGTGTGTTGATATTATTTTTCAATGGTGTGCATTGTTAGTTTACATAATTTAGGTATTCATAATTTCTCTAATAAACAAACAGATATGCAAGAACGTTTTATATTTTAAATAGAACTTAATGATTGCATACCATATATTAATAGTTTTTGGAAAAATGATCACACGCAATTATTCTAAAAAAAAAATAAACAAAATGATTATTTAACTATGACTCACGCATTATATTTGTAGCTATAAAACAAATTATAGTTTTTTATTTTCAGAAGTTAAAAATTTCTTATGTTCCAAGATTTTCAAATAAAACTATGGTTCTATCCCTTCTCATTATCCTTTAAAGTAGTGTCAACCTTAGTTTTTTAAATAGAAACATATATTTAACCAATTTACAAAATCTAAAGAATGATATATCTAAGAAAATGATAATAACATATTTTGGAAGTTATTAACTCTAATATTAAGTCTGGAGGTCAAGCGCGGGTCTGTATATTCTTATCTCTAGACATTAATTAATAAACTGCCCTACTCGCCTCGCCATGTTATAAAAATTCTAATATTCTTTTAAAAAATAGTCCAAAAGTTGTATTAAACAGTTATTTTCTTAGATTATTTTATAGTTTTTGTAAATTTATTAAACATATAGTTTCAATTAAAAAAAAACTAAAATTTTAAGAAAGAGAAGGAAAAATTGTTTTTTGAAAATTTAGAGCGTAAAATATTATTAACTACTGAAAAGAAAAAATTGAATTATGTTTTATATTTTTGACCCTTGTAAATTTTCGTCTCTATGTATAAGTCGCGTAACTCAATTTTTTTAAGTTGTTAAAGCCAAAGAAAATAAAACACTATTTTTGGTTTTTTAATTTTACACGAGAATATGACTCGAATTTTTATGTTTTGAAATACTTTTCAGTTACTGGAATCAGGAGCACAGCCCAACTACGAATTGGAGAGAGTCTACGCCGATCATCGAGAACCTGTTGGTGACTACAGTAGATTAAGTATACCGAGAGAATACAATGTTCCAGACAAAGCATTGTTAGAACTTTTTAATCCAGTAGTACCACGTCACCAAAGGCCAAGATCTTAAAACTAAACGGAACGTGATTTAAAAAAAAAATGATTACACAAAAAATATTAACTATATGTTGTATAATAAATACATTTAAACTTTCTTTTAAGTTTTTACTGTTTTCAACGAAAGTAATAATTTAAATGTTAGTAATAACAACTGCGAAACATAATTAATTAGTGTAGTCTATAGGATTTATTCGGTAAAATTTTATTTATTTATTTTTCATTTCTTTATGTGTTAACTAACTATTAAGTATTACACCTTGTTACCTACATGATTCTTACAACAAACGTTTACGTTGTAGAGATTTTTAATTGAAATATATATGTTTGCTTAAGTTACAAAGTCTTTTTTTTTATTTCATATTCAATTATTATTATATTTTATTAAGGTGTATGTTGAAGGAGGATTAATCATAGGCGAAATTAATTAAAATTTTTGGTGATGCTAAATTAAAAACAATAATAATATATTATTATATGCAAGTGTAAAAATAACTACGAAGTAGTATATAAATCAATTGAGTTTGGATGTTGTTTAACCAAAATTTAGTTAAACAACATACATTTAATGTAAAAATGCATTCGAATCATTCCCAATTCTCTGGTAGTTGTGGATAAGTTTGACATGCTAATAGAAGAAACAAAATAAGGAAACAATCTTCAGAAAAAATCTACTCACATCAAAAACATCATAGTAATTTTAGCTTTTATTGAAGCTGAAAATATTGGTTTATTTTTTACCCCTTATATTTTTTTTTAAGATATGATCATGTTTTTAGTAGTTCAAAAGAAACGCGTGTAGACCGACTAATGTTGCACGTTTCTTTTGAACATTGCCACAGTATAACATACAAAACGTATACTTCCATCACTTGTTAATTTCACAAGAACATTTTATAAGAAATTGTTGATTATTTAATTGTTTTCACGTTATTAATACATATTTAACCATTCAAACATTTTTGGGGAGTTGTTTATTTTTATTGTAATATGAAGATTTTTGATAAAAAAAAACAATTAAGTAAAGTTTAATAATAAGTTTTGGTTCAGTAACTTTTGCCTTTCACATTAACTTAATAATAATGAGTACCTATAACATCATTATATATTTATATGACTCATTACCTGGAAGAAAGGTTAAAAATTTAAATCAGCATAGTTTAGCGGACTTGTTAATTGTTATTATTTTTACACTTTAGTAATGAAGTTACATAATCGCAATTGAATAACTATTTTACTGCACACAAAGAAAGCACATATAATTTTTACCTTAATAAACATGAAATTCAACAATACTGTACCAATATTTATTAAATTAATACTATTAATATTAAATTAATTAAATGTACCACAGAAATAATTTGATACTCAATTTTTATATTAGCTCCGCTTTTGATTCTATAATTAAAATAATTATTTTCATAATACTTATAGAAAAACTTAACTAGTTAAGAGAATAAACTTTAAAAATATCTGATATATCTCAATATTTTATCCTTTTTAAATGTAATTTAGTCAATATAAAAATAATACAAAAATTGTAGTCAGTAATAAAACAAAATTAGTATATACTACGAGTTTAATTTAAATTATATAGTTAGACTTTCATATATTTAACTATTAAAAATTTATTTTATTTACTTAATTATTTATCGATTTTTCTAATCAAATGTCTCAAAAAGATTTGATAATTTTTATCTTTTTTGGGGTCCTTAATAATATGTTAATTTTTTTATTAAATGTAATTTTATAAAAAGTAATATAAAGTTTCATTAGATTGCAACAGATTAAAAATTACAAACTAACTGTTTTCACTGATGCATTCATTTTTCAATAAACAAAATATTTAATCCAAATTTTTAATAACTACAACTCTAAAATTTTTTAACACACCAAAGAAAATAAATCTTTTAAATTTGACCAAAATTTTGTTATTCAATGTATTTTTCAATTCTGTTACTATATTTATTTGAGTATTTTTCTATTTAATCTTTTGACATCTAATGTTTTACCTTCCATTTTTTATTTTATTAATTTTGGATTACAGTTATACATGGTCGGAAAGAAATTTACTTTAAGACCAACGTTGTTATTTAAAAAGCTGTATTTCATAATTCTTAACATATAAAAATGTTAGTTGATTCCTCAAATTCTTATTATATAATTTTTCAATTTATTTCTTAACTATAGTCGTCTGAGTTTTATATTACAAATACAATACTGTAATAGGGTCAATTCAATCAATCCCAAATAATATCTTTCAAAAATGACAGAAGTATAATTTGAGTTTGTATAGAATCGTTGATTTACCTGTAGCTCTTTCGTTTAAAAATTGTAATAGTTATATGAGATAATTTAGGTATAGATTACGACCAGGACGAGTGGGCCATTTTTGTTAAGGTTGTGGGTATTGGCATTTTTACCAGAATTTTTTTGTTATTCACAATATGTCAAAAGGTGTAAACTGCTATTATAACTATTAATTGAAACGTCGTTGTAAATCTATATCATTTTTTTCATAAAATTTGTACACCATGTTACTATTTCACTGAATTACCTACAAAACCGTCATCGATTGAATGAAATGTGAATTTAATGACCCTAACTCCGACCGTTATTAGGTAGCCGTCAAAATACCCAAAGGCCTAATTTTCTGTGGGGGCAAATGCCATTTATGATCCCTTATATAAATACAAGAAAAACGCTAAAATCAATAACAGTTTACTATTTCAACGGTAACACACAGGTCGATCTTGTTTTGTGCAAAAATTTTGGACACGCTTTTACTTCAGCAGATCAAAAGAAGAAGTTTGATTAGTTTAAGTAAGTTAATATTTGTTATATTACTATAATATTTATGTTCGGATTTATTTATAAATTATTTTATGCTAACTGTAAATTAAACGTTTTTAATTAAAAGTATTGAAACTCAAACATCGTGTTTTATGAGAATTAGATTGAAATTTATCGTTTTTCTGTAAATATAAATACGCTTACACAAAATATGTCTTTGTTTTGATTTTATTGGCATATGATTTAGATTTATTTTAGTTTTCTGATAAAAAAAAAAAATTATGAAACATCTATTTAATATATATTTCAAAAATATTCTTACTTCAATTTTAAAATTAAGCATTTACCATAAGATATAACACTAACATAAGTAAACTAGTTACAGTTTACTTCCAGTATATAGAAATTCAGCCAAAATATTTATTTCTTACTGTATTAAGATAGAATATTAAAAACTATTCTTTTTTCTCGCCTTAATCCCAACTACTTGGGGTCGGCCATAGAATATTAAATACTGTTAACTAATTATAACTATTTTGATAATTAAAATCGCAAAAAAGTAAAATTGTCAAAACATAATAATTTAATGTATATACAATACTATTATATTTGATGAATTCTTTTATAGTTTTATGAATATTTTTAGGTATGTTTTGTTAATATGTATTTACTTAATTTTTTTTTTTTCTGTAGAATGAAGTACTTCAAACGATCGTTTTTAATTGTAATGCTTGTTTTGCCGTTTATGCATTGCTCATCTGGTTCATTTATAAAACCTGGGAAACTTATAAAATCTCTCTTTGATGCTTATAAAGGAGGACATTCCAGTACAGAACATGTCGTATTCGAAGAAGATGTTCCCGTTTTTGAAGTTCCTGCACAAGTTGACTATCATATAGTGGAAGAAAAACCTATAGCAGAACCCATTGTAGAACCTGTTGTGCAAGAGGTTATTTTTGACAAACCGAACAACTTCAATTCGGCATCAGCATCAATCACTCACGATTTAGCTAGTAAAAGTCAATCGATGGTCGACAAAGTAAAAAATACGGTCGCGACAGCTAAAGAGGGGATCTCAGAAAAAATTAGCGCCATTACATCCAAGTTCCACAAAAGTTCTCCAGTTAATAATGTTCATAGTGCCATCGAATTGCCAGCAACTGCACCAATAGTTCAAAGTGAACCAATAGTTCAAAGTGAACCAATTGCACCAGAAACAAAATTATACTTTTATCCAATGCCATATCAATTGTGGCCCAACTATGCTCCACCAGCTCCACATCAACAGTCAATTGTACAGTCTACGTGGATTGAGCCAGGTATAAGATATCCTTTAAAATCTGGTGATTATTTGAACTCATTAGCAGGTTTATCGATTAAAAACGGCGGACAATGGTTATCTAAGGTGCCATGCAAAACAAATGCCCTCAAAAAAATAGAGCCAATCAAATATCAGCCATACGCTCCTTACTACAATGCAGTAATTACCAAAACCTCCGGCACATCACTACCTATCGATAACAACTTGTGGACTCAATATATCCAAAACGGTGATAAACCTACTTTGAACAATGCGTACGAAAATGTCAACCACAACCCACATAGTCTCGGACCCGTAACATTTGATAAACAACAAGAAGATAACGGCTCAGCAATACAGTTCAGAGGTGATATACCAGCTATCTATGAATCTTTATCAGGATCAAAGCAACCTGCCGTTGTAATATTACCAGATTCAAGCGACAAAAGTGGCCAAAATGAAATAATCATACCGGTAAGTGAACAATCAGAAATTTTAAGTTCTCATGATGTTAAATGAAAGGAGTGAATAGAAAATGTTTTTGTTAGAAATATTTTATTTAAAATTTGTAAAAATATTGTATTTAAGGATTTAATGTTCACTTTCTTTTTACCATCTAGATTTTAAAATATTTTTAAATTGTACAACAATTTAGTTCTTAGAAATTTTTATTTCTAATAACATGAAATTTTATTATAACTCCCATTTTTATTTGATGATGTGATATTAATTAACGATTTTTTAATATTTAAATCACTAAATACTTTTGTATATAAATTAGCTGTTTAAATTGATAAATTATTTTACATGTACGTATTTATAATTATAACTATTCTTTAATTTGTTGTTTTTTAGAAAATAAATGTTATGTAATTTAGCTATAACCTAATTTCTTTCATATATATAAAAAAATCTTGTTAGATGGAAAATATTTTAAAGTAATACAAATAACAATTATAATTAAGTTTAACTATGAGAAATATTCTTATATTTCAATAGAAAAATTTATGGTTTAAAAAAAAATGATAAACCTATATAATAACTGAACAGTTATAAAATTTAATTCGAAATAAGTGAAATTATGAAATGAGAAATGTAAATGAATAATTCTAACATTATTTTTATCAAACTTTAGTATCTTAATTAAAGGTTTAAGTTTATATTTTGGTAATTGACAGTCCCCAAAGAGGGATCAAATGTCAATAAGTTAGTTTTTTAGTAGTATTAATTTAATAATGAATTAGATATTTAATATAAAAAAATATATAGTAGAAATAACATTTTATTTCTAGACTATAAAATTTTATTTTTATAATGAGCCACTTTAATAAAAACCTTCTGAATAGTCTTTAAAAATTTTTTATTAGACATAAAGTAAATAATTGAGTTGAATTTTTAACTTAAAACACGTAATTTATCATTAAAAATAAATTAAACATTTTACTTTCATTTTTATAGCCACTAAATTTATCTATGTTGAAAATTATAATTACAATTATATTTTTATCATTAAACACTTAAATTATTTCAATCGAGTTACTAAAGATCAATATAATCTTAGCATTTTTACGTAAATACCAATTTGCATAATTGTAACTTAACAATTAAAGTAAATTAAAAATAGAAAAAGAGTGAAAATGTAATATGTTGAGCTCTTTGGCATCTGTTCACGGTGTCTAATTTATTGCAAAAAGTAATATAATAACTATTTATCAGACAGGTTCATCTTTCCAGGTCAATTTTTTTACATTCATCACAATGTGTATCAGAAAATTCGGTAGTGGGAAAACATAGTAGGAGCAATTATATAAAAAGTGTCGTGAAAGCGGATTGTGTACCGAGTATATTCATTTGCACACCGTCCGATACATCGTGTTACAGTTTGAAACTTCTTTTGGACACATTTATGCAGAGAATAGTTTTTTCGTAAAATACTGTTAAGTTTTATTGTTTACATCGGAACGCCGTTATTTATTTTAGTAGTGTATACTGTGTTGCGCATTCAAAGAGTTGCAAATACTTAGCTGGTAATTCATAATGGCAGCGACGTGGTGCTCTGCAATAGTGGTGAGTTATTAAAAATAAAAATAATTTTAAATTAAAACATAGGAATTTTTAGCAATAACAATAGAAATTCTTTCATAGTAATTATTTTTAAATAAAGACAAAATACATAGAAACGACCATTTTTAATGCTTATGTCTACTTCACCTATCTAGCAATACAAATGTCAATAAAACTCACTTAAAGTTGAAAATCATAAAATAAAAAAAAATATTTACAAGAAAAAAAGTAATATTTTATCTTTTGAGTGTTCATAGATACTTTTTTGTCGGTGCTTATGATTTACTCGCATTCGTAAACCCTGTGTAGTACTTCTTTCATTTCAACTGTATAATATATAGTATGCATTACCCCTATAATATAAATTATTTATTTATTTTATGTGCTTCACTTTTTTCCAACTAAGAAAATTCTCAAAACCATTAAAATGAAATCTTGCTTATAATTATGTTTTATTTCAAAACAAACATTATGAAATGTAAAACAACAGATCATCTCACTCTCTCAACACGAAATATAATCTAATACAAAACAATTACCTCTCGTTAAAATGATACGTTTTAACTTTTTTTTTTAATTATAGAATTTAATGATTGTACACTGAAATATAAAACTAACATAAAATATTTTCTCAATATTTACCGTAACTTTTAAAATATTTAACAAAACAAAATCTTATTAAATTAATAGTTTTTTTTTTTTTTTAAGAGTATTTTAATTTTAATTTATAAATAAACTCCAAATGTAAAAAAGTAATAGATCTGGATCAACTCGATGGCGTACACAAGCAGAACTAAAGGTTATATAGCCTCTTTAGCCATTGGCCAATTATAACTGTTAACAGCTTATGACTTTGGCGCTAGTAATAAACAAAAACAAAGGTCTTTAATCTCTTTATCCCCTTGAAAATATCATGTGTAACGCACTATTATATTTTTATATTATATTTACAAAATATTTTATAATTGTATAAACTTATGAAATTTTATATTATTTAACACTGAAGCATTAATTTAAGTCATGGAAAATAAATTACTTGCATTTTTTGAGTTTCCATAATAGTATGTAAAATAATAATGTATTGTCTATAATAATATGTAAAAGATAATTATAAAACAATTTTTGGTATAATTTAAATAACAAAATAAATGATACACTTCGGAGAAATAAAAAGTTATAAAAAAATTACAATGAATTTTATTTTATACAAAAAAAGTTTTTTTGAAACAAAAACAAAAATGCTAGCTTGAAACTAAGTATATAAGGGCTGATTTATTATTTGGATTGATTTTTTTTTAAATATAAGATACGTAAAATTAAAAAAAAAATTTATTTGAAATTAGTTTCTAAATTTCAAACATAATTACAAATTGTTTTGTTTTTTCCTTCTGTAATTTTTTAATTACGGTAATTGCACATAATTATATTATTAATAAAAATTTTTTTACGAGAATAAAATTGTTTTGCTAAAATATATGTAATAATGGAAAAAAACGTTCACACGTGTACCAGAATTGCCTACTCAGAATGCCGGCGAACATTTTTAAGCGTCAAGGTTTTTAATTGACAGCTAAATATTTATAAATTATTAGTAAGAACAGATTAAATCTCTATTTTAACATTATTCAATTAATGGTGTTAACAGTATTCAAAACCCATTAACTAAATATAGAGTGATTCTTTTATCTCTAAATCAATTTAAATAAACATCAATCCATTTTCCTTAAAATAATAAGTTTCTTGTGAATATTTTTTTTTTTTTAGTTTTTGTTAGTTACATATTTATTTTCATTTATCTGTTATAAAATATTTTTTATGTCCATCCTTCTTATGTCTAAAAGGGATGTGAACTTTACTTTTTTAAATGACAACATACATATTTATCTAACTAATAAAATAGTAAATTACTAATTAATAACAACTTTTGGTCTAATACTTTAGGAGTTATTAGCATTTTAAATTTAGACTAGAGGAGCATTTAAAATGCTAATAACTCCCAAAGTATTAAATCAAATGCTGATATTGACTAGTAATTTTCTAAAACTTGATAAATATGAATGTTGCCATTAAAAAAAATAAAGTTAATACCCCTATAAGATATCAGGAATTTACTAAAATATATTTTATAACAGATAAATGGAAATACAAATGTAAACGACAAAAAACAAAAAAAAAAATTATATTTTTTAAAAAAATGTAATGGCTAGCGTTAAAAATAATGTTGAAAAAAAAATTTAGTCTGCCAATCTTTTTCCTGTAATTTGAAAAAACACTAATGAAATAACAATATTTAATTATTACACGTTAATTCCAAAAAATAAGTAGTATTCATTTCTTTTAACTAAATTTTTAATTAAATATAAATATTTTATTCTACAACTCCTAAATGGAAACTTATTTGTCGAAAGAAGTTTAATATTGTTAAAAGTAACAAACATCTAGTAACTATTTGTATTAAAAGAAAGAAATATTACAACAGTACAGTAAATGAAATAATAATAAAAATAAAATTTACACAAGTAAAGAGATTTAAAAATATCCTTCAGCATTAAAATTATTTTTTAAAACCACTAACGCGTTATTCCGTTTATGTTTTGCTTGTTGAAGTAGACAGCTAACAATACAATTTTTATAGCTACTTTTTAAATGCTAATGACCATCGAGACATCAAAATAATGATATGGATAAACAGAAAAATTAGAATTTTTATAGCTTCTTAGATTATCATTATTAAGTAATAATAGACAACACGGAATAAAAAATATGAGAATAAATAATAAAAGCAACCGTTACACTTTAAAATTGTAAACATTCTAGTTGAAAACTAAAATGGCATATCCGTTTTTAAGATTGATAGGTTAAATATAAAAATAAAGAGTTGAGAACATTTGCTGTGTGCAATTGCAGAGCTATTGCATCTTGTTCACTTAACCGGAAAGGGGTAGTTATAGTTGACTTAATTAAAATGATATTTGTTATAGAATCAATTACTCTGTAACGCGTATGTACAACATTGAACTCCAACCTCTACCGTAGTGCACTCATGTCATATATAAAGAATAATAGATCTGGTAGAAAAAATAATCCAATTGCGTTCAGGTCTCGAGTAAAACGCCTTTTGGATGTTTGCCAGTCGAGTCGGAATTGTTGTTGCAAATAAAAATTACACTTGAACACGGTTTGATTGTATTTTTGTTGCCATGAAAGCATTTAAATTTGATTACCGCAAAACGGAGAATAAAAATTCTCTCCAAACGTATTAACGGATTTCTTCGGCAAAGGCTTCGGAAATGATTATACATTCTCTATATTCATAAATAAACTCTTAGCTATAAATTTAAAGCAATAAATTTTCTTGTTAATGGACCTAAGCCACATTTATCTCAACAGTGAATATAATATCGTTAAAAGAATAGTATTAAGCAACCATGCATGGCGCGAATTAAGAGCAAACGGTTTCCCTAAAGAATAAACTCAAATAAAAATTTTACAATATGTTTTAGGTTAGATATTGTAGCTCGCCGAAGTCTCTAAGTTAAATTATATTAAAAAAGTACTTCAGTTGTTGTTTACTCAATACTTTTGTTACATTCTTTGAATAACATCTACATTTAATTTAACTTAAAAAAAATCAGTAATTTTCTCACACTCCTCAAATTTCATTATGATTTACTCATAACTAACATAATTTATTTATTTAAACGATCTATATCGTAACGGTTAAAAATAATAATGTTTCTCTAATTGTTTTATATATATGTATAAATGAACGGTTACTATAATAATTGATAACTGTGTTTAATGAACTTTCTAAGCATCGCTTGGCCAACCGATTATTTTACAAAAAGATTTGTTATCTTTACACACTGAAACAAAAGAAAAGTGAAAATGGAATATTATTATTATTATTTTTTTGTTGAGCTATAAATTCGTTCGAATGTTTGCTCATTCGTATATAATTTGTATAACTATCAAAATTGTGACGAGTCAATTACACACGGCGATAAACGAGAATCGTTCATGATCCCGAAACCAATTCATTTGTCATGGATCAATCAAAGTACAGTGGAAAGCGAAATAAATAAAGTAAATCAACTTTTTCGACAAAGCATTCGTTTAATGTAATTCTCCCTCTTTTTTTTTTTTTCTAATATCGTTGAAAATAAATAACATGCATCTTTCACTTGAATATAACTGTCCCTAACGTTATCTATATAAATTTTTTTAAATATTATTCTATAATCCATTCATTGTAGAGCTAAATAAATGAAATAAAATGAAAATAAAAAGACGATCACATAGTTTTTTATTTAATTAATTTATAAATATATCTTAGCGTGGATTTAATTGTATTTCAATAGTTTCTATATTGATTCTTTTAATTTTGCAACGAAAAATTTTCTTTGGCGATTGTAATTTGTATTGACCAATATAGATATCGGATTAACCGAACAATAATTTTATTATAATTACTAAGAAAAAACTCCTATTTCTCTTTTAATATTGTTAGATTCTATTGTGTAACGGCGCCAATACTTAATATCAATTAAATTATAAAGTAATTTTAAATCCACAACTTGTATATAAAAATTAAACGATAGAAATGCTAAACATGGCGAAATTCCAAATAAAATTGGATTACAAATTCATAACTATTTTTGAAAAACGAAAGTCTTTAGAAATTATTTGTATATGGGGCTCTGCATACTAATTTAACATCTTTTGTAATTCCAATAGCGACTCGGTCGACTAGGGAATAATTGGAAACAATAGAAGGAACCGAAAGTGAACAACAAAAGTATTATGTTCAATTGAATTCCTGAACGTTATCGTCGTTTGGCCGCTTTAAAGTCCACTTGAAAAAATTAAGACTAAAAACAATTTACACGTTTCAATTACCATTTTTACCTAATCTCTCTGTAAAACAAAAACGAAAGAATAAATAAATTACACACTGTAAATATACATTGGTTTTCACGGTTATTATTATCTACTTGGGAATCAGCTTTTGAAATAAGAAGTTGTGGTGTAACGACACCATCGACATAATACTTTCCAGTAAATGCTCTGTGCCATGTAACGGGTCAATAAACACTTTTTCTCAATGGTAAACAACCAAAAGTGTTGTAAACGGATTGCTCGATATAAACATAAAAAAAAGAGTCATATAGCATTGAACTTTTAGCGACAGAAAAAAAGGAAAACAATAACATAATAACTCGTATAATTTTTGAAGGCACACAACAGCTCCAGTCGTATTACACGCACATTTTTTGGACATATTATTAAAACGCCTCTGATCGCTATATGAGTGAAATTAGATAATTCCACACAGCAGAATACGATGGTATACAGCATTTAATCTAATTAGGATCTCTCTATTGCATTTTTCCATGAATATCGTGGTGTCCTTGTCCAATCGTCCGCCTCCGCAAGTGCTTGTTCTACGCAATTCGTATTGTTGTTTCGTGCATGTGTTTAAGTTCACATGCTCGATTGTGTCTTTTTAATAGCTTATCCTGGTGATCTCCGCGCGTTCATTTGTAAATACTTAGAAACGCGTTTTTCTATTTGAAGTTGACACATTATCAGTAAAAGTTTACTCAGTATCAAATAGACGATGTCAATTATCGCGGAGGCGTCCGAAAGTCTCAGTTTTTATTGAATAGCAACAAGAGAAGGAGACAATCGCTTTCGGCATTGCCTCATTGTAAGCCATAAAACGCTGAATTCCCAATTTGCCTTGAGAACGTCTGGCCATTTTTATACGCTGTCATAAAATCTATTGTCAGTACGCTGGAGCATTCATTTACTTGCATACGGACGACGGCGGGGAAACGTTGCAACGTTCTTGTTATTTATATAAGATTTACATACATTTGACACTTTAGACTTTGAAAGTTATAGTTTTTATCATGTTAAAAGCAAATAACGTTCAATAAAATTTCAATGGGTTAGTTGAAACTATATAATGTCTTCATTTTTCAAAATTACTGCGACATAACACATTGTAACGGCAATTTTTTTAAAAACTACGAATGTATGATTTACATTGATATTATTTGTTTACGTATATTTGTGTTTACCCAAACTATTGCATATATTATACATTTTTTCTTAGATTTATCACATTAGATTTAGGTTTTTAACGATTTCTATTTTTACATATCGACTTAAGTCTTTATAAATACGGGTCATCTTAATCGGTAGTATTTAATAGAAAGCATATAAAATAATCGTAATTATCATTGTAGATAAAATTGTTTAAAAATATTCGTTCGGATAATCTTTTTAACTGCATTTTTTCCGTAGTAATAAAATAAGAGAACTTTTCCGGCGCCACAAATCTCCCCTCCGTTAACCTAAATTAAAAACAAAAAAATTATTCTTATTTTTTACTGCAGAGAGTACTTTGTCTATTACTGTAAATTATAAACACCTCTCGTTTGGCAAATCACAACGCTTTAGTTAGATTTTTTCATTCCCTTATAATTTGTCGTAGTTCAGCTAATTACTCGATTACTTGACCGAATTTTAATATTTTATTTTATTTCAGTCCATCTATAAGTATTATACACAACTTAACTGGTACCTCTCGGAGCTCAGTTTTTTTTTTTATAATAACACTCCGATTACATAACGAGTAAACATTAGGGAAATACTGACTGGCAGACATTTTTTGTAAAATACTTGTGAATGACTCGTTATGTTTACCAAAGTAAGCATTGTGTGCGTTATTAACGTATAAATGATGNCATTTTATTTTATTTCAGTCCATCTATAAGTATTATACACAACTTAACTGGTACCTCTCGGAGCTCAGTTATTTTTTTTTTTATAATAACACTCCGATTACATAACGAGTAAACGTTAGGGAAATACTGACTGGCGGACATTTTTTGTAAAATACTTGTGAATGACTCGTTATGTTTACCAAAGTAAGCATTGTGTGCGTTATTAACGTATAAATGATGTATTTTTTTAGAAAGAATAAACGAAAATGTAAATGTATTTAAATGTGAAAAAATTAAAAATTACTCGTCATTGTTGCATTACTTGTAACAATAAAACATGCAAAAAATGGGTCATTGATATTCAAGCAGCCTCAGAAATGTACCGAAATAGTAAGCGGACAAGACTGTAAGATTACGCAATGGGCCGGAAAAGCGTACGCCGAAAATCTCGTCGATGTGAAAGGGACTAGACAACCTACTGAAATGAATTTTACAATTTACCGTGTGTCTTTATTGGTAAACATCGAAAACCTCCTCCACAGTCCTGTCTCGGATCGCTCAATAATGTCAATTTCCGTCGAAACTACTCGTGTTGCCCACACAATAACCGCAATGAAACATCAATAAACGAATCTACCCATCACAATGCGCTAATAGTAAAATCTTTGGAACATGTGAATTCGGTAGCATTGCATATTATGTTAAATATCAAAGGAACATTTATTGTATTATAAGTCGATGCATGTACGATTAATGAAGAATGAACAATTACAGCACATCCGATTATTTTAAACAGTACATTTAATTAAGCTATTAATGAATCATTCGGAAAACGAACGCTTTTCATTACAACGACCGATTACTGTGTACGAGTCGGCCAATCGCGCGGTTACCGCCCCACGATAATATTATCATTATTATTATAAATTAAAATCGGCGATTTATTTTGAAAATCGCCCAAGACCAACCAAGTCGATTACGCACTGTAATGAACAAACGCGAGAAAACACTTTAACACCAATTCATTACTTATTATCGTGTGCTCGGATTCCGCAACAACGCGTCATTAATGTAAGTCATGTACGATTACCTAATGCGCACCGGCGATGTGGTGTAAAAAAGAAACGTCAATTAGAAGACGCGAGTTTAATAATTGTATGTAATCGCAGAATATTATATTAGGTTCCACGCTACAAGTTTTCATGGACGCCATGAAGAGGTATCATTGTTGTATAACAACCGCCCGTGCTCAAGAAAGTGAACAATGAGCGTATTTGTTATTGTTATCTACACAGAAATGAAAAAGGAAAACTTCCATTGACGTTTCCTATAAGTTGGTGAAAACAAATGAGTTTACGAACTAATCGAATTCACTTTGAAATGTCACTACGGTTTTCATTGAACGATTCTCGTGTCTTATTCAGTTTTTTCTTACTGTCAACCGCATTATTGAAAATGGTCAATATCAATATGTACATTTATTGGTAAACTATTTTGTAGTAAGAAGTATTGATTGGTCCGATGTGCAGATTTTAACTTCAAGCTTATTGATCATAAGTCACAACTAAATAAATGCACGTACATGTTAACGTTTAGTGATGTTTTGGGTGGTATACGACGTGTACCCACCAATAATTATTAAAAAAATTATTATTTTTTTTCATAAACGTATACCCTAAAAAAATAATATTTATATACTATCTAAGAGTATACGCTCACAAATCAGCGTGCACCGTGAAATAAAAAAAGGGTTTTTTTGCGAATACACCACTGTCGACACTACGACAGTGTCCAAAAACTTAACCACCACAGTAATTTCGATGCTTAATTGCCCAAGTCGTTCTAATGTTTGTCTTTTAAGCCATCCACTGTAACAAAATTGCGTAGCTCGTGGACACTATTGTAATCTCTTCTACCTTTTTTTTCGTCTACTGCGATAGGCTATTACGTAGACTTCCTATTTTATCTATTTTGCGTAACCTGCATACTTAAACACATCCGTTCTACATATTGTTGTGTGTTCAAATAAATTTCTTGACTTTTCTAAAACTAATTATTTTTTAAGAAATAATCATATTAATTCATCATTTGGTTTTTATTAATTCCAGACTTTACTTGCTGTCGGCCAAGGTCTTGGAAGACCGGAACCACCTGTAACTGGTTTCGGAAGTAGTGGCGGAAATTTACAATTGGATAGCTATGCGGCGCCTATAAGTGGCGGTAGCAGCGGTTCGTATCCAAGCGGAGGACCACCACCAATGTATGGTCCACCTGTATTGATGCAAGCACCAGTTATACATAAACATGTGTACGTTCATGTACCACCCCCAGAGCCCACGACCTATGTACCCAAAAGGCCAGTGCAACCACCACAACCACCACAGAAACACTACAAAATCGTATTCATCAAGGCACCAACTCCACCAACTCCCACTGCACCTGAAATACCACCATTACCACCGGCAGTCGAACAAAAAACACTCATCTACGTGTTAGTTAAGAAACCCGAAGAACAACCTGAAATCCATATTCCCACCCCGGCTCCAACACAACCGTCCAAACCAGAAGTATACTTTATCAGATACAAGACACAGGTATTAACTTTATGAAATTCATAAAAATTAAATATCACAGTGGGGGGGGGGCACAGGTATGCAAATAATTTAAAAATAATAAAAATATATTTATTTCAGAAACAAGAAGGATATCCAAATTCTGTCGCTAATTCCGAATACGGACCACCAGCTAGTCCATCACCGTCGATAGGACCATCAGAAAGTTACGGTTCACCATCGCCATCTACCGGATATGGCGCACCTTCCGGACCGGGAAGCGGAAATCTATTTTAAAAACTAGAAACCGAATCGTCCGAAGTACGCGAAGAATAAATAAATTCAAAAATCGTCAATAATCTTTATATAAATCTTACCAAAAACATAAATTTTATGTAACACGATGACACTAAATAAACCTTTATAAAGTATAATAAAAAAAAAAATGGACAGGAGAAAATCACGATAAAAAGAATAACGAAATTTTTAATATATTTTGAATACGACGTGTTGCCATAAAAATATAGTTAGCATAGAAAAGATAAAATCAGAAACTCATTAAGGTCACTAATAATACTTTAGTAACGCCACAGGATTTTGTTTCGCCGCATTAAAATAATACAGATACGTATTGTAATAATGACACCTATCAGACAGTTTTAGACATTAAAAAATCGTTTCATCTCTTTTAAGCTTTTTTTCTCAGATTTGGAAACCATTTTGCCAGAATATTTTGTTCACTTTACTATTGTATACAGTTTTCTACATAGTACATCACTCAAACACAGTCATTGACGTTCTCCGTTTAAGAAATTGTATGATGTTTAGGAGAAAGTGGAAATATCATAAACGTTCGCGTGAGCCAGATTATATACCTGTCCAGAATTAAAATTTACTATTTTACTCATACACACGAAATCCTATTATTGTTCATTAAAAAATATTACATAATAACTTAATCGTTAATACGGTGCCACTCTTACCGGATTTCAATGAAATAATCAAACTAAATCCAATCACGTCGATTATTGGTTTTATTTTTTAAAGTAAGCACTAATCACGTTTAATATGGGCATAATTCATATATTTTTATGAACCGATCGCATCCACATTATTATTAATTGATATGCACACTATCACACTGACACACGTTTTAGATATTTTTAATTAATTTTTACGCAAAGTAAAATCATATTAGCAAAGTTTCATACATTATTGTTGACGATTTCAAATTCATCAACTTACTAACGGCACACGATACAACAATATTATAATACCATAAAGTTAATCTAAAAATATTCTTCTTAAAAGCTAACTTGAAATATTTTATGTAAAGCGTCAATGGTCGTGACAACTATATATTTGACCCATAATATCATGAATGATATTTATAAGAGGTTTCATCTATTTTAAAATCAAATTTAATTTTATAATATTTCTAGTTGAAAACACAATAATTTTTGTTTTATTTTGTTAAATTATTGTTATTTTATGTTGTAAATTTCTACTATTATGTAATATGTTTACATCGTATTATCTAGTTAACAAGCACGCTATTTTAGGTATCAAAAATGTTTATATTAAAAAAATAAGGTAGTAAATTATGCCTCCTAATTTTGTACATTATAATATATTTGTTATTTTGTTAATTTTTGTATGTGTTTTTTGATAATAAAATCGTTTTATGTACTATATGCGCAGTTAAAACTAAAAAAAATAACTTTTAACATTAAATATGAAGTTATAGGTATTATTAGGTGCGTATCTAAAAATTTATAAGAGGGTACGGAGAAAAATTGTTCACCTATATGGTACCATAAAATTTAGATAACTCTTTTTTCTTTTTGCCCATACTTCATTTTGCTGAGATTATCACATAAAATTTAAAAAAAGAGCACAATAAAATGTGTGTAGTATACACACTTGAAACTTATTTGAAAAAGAATCAGTCATGTTTTTGTTTTTATCGTTTGAATCCATTTTAATAATTTAAATCAGGTGTATAATATTATTGTGAAAAATATCACCATATTTATTTATTTACACATTAAAAACTTCAAAAAAAATATATTCAATATAATTGTTAGTAATAAATGAAGACGTTTCTGAAATAACTTTGTGGGACGTCAAATTTTGCACAAGACTACTATATTAACCAATATTTGATAATTACATGTTATCTTCGGTAAAAAAAAGTAAACATTTTTACAATTAATCTCACAAACTCATAATACATTATTACCACAGACTATTTGAAAATAATCTGTATTATTACATTACTTGATAAAATATTAGCATAACTCAGTCAGTCGAGTGATCACGTGCTCTTGTGTCCATCTCAAAATACGACACTGAAAATTATACTCATCGTATTGTAAAATAAGATTATGTATATAGTTTACTGTATCAATGGCCTCTTCCTCAAAAATATTTTTAAAAAAGGTATCAAAGTAAATAATTAAACTCAATCATTTAATAATGTGTAACGTTCTTATTAAAAATTATTGCTTGTGTAAGAGAGCAAAAACTTACACAGTCTAGGTCAACAGAATCGTGAACGTTGTCGACTGATAAGTAGGCCGCTGGCTCCTGAACATCTTAGGTTTTATATTTCCATACCATGATTATCAATTTATTAAGAATATTTTAAATAATTATAAATGTATTTTTCAAAAATGTTTAGGGATACCAAGTATCAGAAAAGCGCCACCCAATTAAACCTTGCTATCCGTTCAAAAAGATATTGAAATTACAACCATTCAAATAATAAGTTTTTAAAAATAATCTTAAAGCTACAAACATTTCTTTCCATAGACACAGTTTTGTCAGGGGTACTCCCAGTCCAGTAGTGTTTATTTTTAAGAAATTGGTGGATTATTCCAAAAGCAAAATTAACTCCTATTTTTTGTTCTACTTCGATTGCCATTTGCACATAGAAAATAGGTCGTTGGTACAAATTTTTTTTTTTTTAGCACATAAAATAAGTTTTATTACCATATATATATATATATATATATTCAAAAGACACAGATTTTCAAAAGTTAAGTTGAAAAAACTCTACTTTCTATACAAATTTCCAAAAAAAATTTTCTTAACTTTGAAGAGACAAAATTATCAAAATAAGTATAAATTTATATTTAATGTAAGTTAGATTCATGTAAATTTTATACTTATTGGTGGATTCATTATTATTGCAAACCCTTTTAAGGTATTTTAAAATAAACAAAAAAAATAAATAAAATTTGAACACAAAATAAAAAATTTTTAAACTACGGCAGCCATTTCCACGTAGAAGATAATTTGTCATCGGGAAAATTTTTTTTTTTATTTATATTACGTATTATAAGCTTTAATTAGACATATGTTTTAAGGATGCAGTATTTCCGGAACATTTTCAAAAGTAAAGTTGAAAAAGTTAAATTTTGTAAAAATGTTGTTATTTTGAATCCTCTCTTGTGGGCAGATAAAGGATCAGATTTTCAAAAATATTATATCAAATAAAAGGGAAATAAAGAAGGTTTCAATATAAAAAAAATTATTTTGGGTTGTTCATTTTTAAATAATTTTTAGGAAATAAAATGAAAAAATTTTAAAATTTACCGATTTTAAAAATCGTAATTTTTGGGGGGGGATTTTGTCCATTTACGGGGAATGAGGGAAAAATTTTAAATTTTTTAGGGTATTATCTCAACTAGATACGATTTGTGATCTTTTGACGTAAATAAATTAACACATCATGGTATAATTAATATCTTTTCAGCTTCGCATCGAAGCTAATAATATGTATTATTAAGAGTAAAATTTATAAATTACCGAATTTTTTTTTATATGATTACTAAAATCCATCACAAAATAGCTAAACCCGTTTTTTAGCTTAGTAACAATTAAGGGGACCGAGTTTTAGTCATTAAATTTTTGCCCCCGTGTAAAAAATAGTTCCGGCGCCCCTGCCCCATTCTAAATTAAAAGCCCCATTATTTTATACATTATTCAAGATGATAAATAAAAAATATTTATAAAAAATAGCCAATGGTGGGCAATAATAATTTTAGCAGCCTCAAGATAATTACAAGATGTTAGTGTTTATTCTTATTTTTATCATTCTTTTTAGTATATATTTAAAATATTTTTTCTATAAACTAGTTTAAAAAATGTCTCATTAGAAAATAAATGTTTTTGTAAGTCAATTTTGTATATTACATTCTAAATAGTACAAAAAAATTATAGTAATAACACTTATAAGGTTTTAAACAATATTCTTTTAACAAATACAATGAATCAATACATAACAAGGTTTTTAAATTAAAACAAATGAGAAAAGTCCAAAACACCAGGATGTTCTTCTGCAGACACTAAATCAACAACAAGTCTAAAAAATATTTTTTAAATTTAACAAAATAGAAATAATTGTATTGACAATTATTATTTTTTGAATAAAAAATAACAAAATTTAAACTATGGGTATCAATAATTTTATTTTTTATTTTATTTTTTTTTTACCTTTAGTTACTTATTATTCTTGAATTATTAGCTATGTAATATTATAACTTCGTTGATATAGAATAGCTATTTATCTATTATAATATATATTATATATATATATATATTAATAATATAGCTAATATTTAGCTACATAGCTATATATTTTTCAAGAATAATATGTAACTAAAGGTATAAAAAAAAAATAATAAAATGTTAAAATTATTTTTATTCTGTGAGTAATTGAGGGTTGCAATAAAAAAATCATCTTATATAGTCCAAAATTTAAAAAATAAAAACATCCAATAGCTCAAAAGTTATTTGATTTTTCAAAACATCATAGACTACCCTGTATTACCAAATAGAAGATGGAATACTCACAGAATACATGATAAATCATGTGATTTGCTTGTGTTCCATCTCCAAAGTCTTAATAAAATAACAATTTTTTTAGGGGTATTTAAAGCTAATTTTGTAAAAGTAGTAAAATAAGAAATTATCAAAATGTATAAATAGCAGTTATTAGTTGTCTCATAACTAAATCACTAAAACAAATTAATAAAACAATTAAGCTTACTGAAGTGCTCTTGTACTAATAGATTTTGAGTCTGAACTTATTTCTTCTGGATGTGACATCAAATAATCAATTAGCCATTTAAGTCTATTGCGAACAGTCTAAAAAATAATATAAAAATCTATTAATTTTTAATATAAAACATACAAATTAATCTCATTAAACATAGATTTATTAAAATAATAAAAAAATAGGTAAAAAAAGAATATTGACCACAATTAATGATAAAAAATAAAAATACAATTAAAAATGGCAGATTGGAAAAACTTTACAATAAACCTGGATAACCTGAAAATTGATTTGGTACTAATGAATAAGAGCTAGGATAATTTTACAGGCCTAGTCAAATTTGCATCAAGAAAAAATATTTCAAGAGGTTGACCAACATAATACATTTCAGTACTAACAACCAAACTTGCAGAGTCCTAACATAAATATACACAACTATATGGGGCTAACTCGATTGAAGAGATTACAATTGAAGTTCTAATGAAAACATTGGCAGAAAAGATGAGAACAAAATGGTGCGATCTATTATGCATATACATGAAATGAAGCAGCAAAAAAGCTTAGAACCTCATTAAATATGAGTAATATGACCCTAACATTTTTTTTTTTTTTAATTTGAAATTTCTTCAAAATAGCCATTTTTAACCCTTATCTTATAAAAAGTTTTTAATAAATAATAAATTTAGAATAAATACTCATTGAGTTACAAGCATTTGAATACATAGAGTGCAAATACACTAATATGAGATGTACCCACCCACCCATGCAACATACCCATTTTATGTAACTCCGTAAGTACTTATTCTAAAATTGTTATTAAATTTTTCAAAATGTCGACCATACTAAATAAACAAAGTGATTTTCTTATGATTAACCACTTTATTTTTAAGTGGCCAAAAATTAAAGGTAAACAAAAACTCAGCACAGGGGGGTCGCGGCACAGTGGTGACGTGGTATAGATGGATCAAGTATAATGATATCTGACAGTCATTAAAATCACTATCAAAAAAAAACGCTTCGATGCAAATCTTTAGATAGTGTTTAATTTTAAAAAATTGGTGGATTATTCCAAAATCTTCATAAACTGCTAGTTCCTTATTAATATCCTGATTAAGATAAAGTATGTCGAATGAAAAAGGGATTATTAAAAAATAGAATTTCCCATAAAAAAATTATATTGATCAATACACTTTTCAATAAGTTATAGCATTATAAAGTTAAAAATGTAAAAAATAAAATTGAGAATTTTCACACAATAATAGCATTTGGTAGCCATTTTCATCGTGAAGACAAAATAAAGTCCGAAATTTGTTTTTTACATAATAAAGTAGATTACATTAGCTTTAATTTAATATATATAAAAAAGTGTCAGACTTTCCGGAACACTTTCAAAATTTAAGTTGAAAAAGTAAATTTTTTGTGAAAAAGTTGTCATTTTGAATCCCCCCCTGTAGGCAGGTAAAAAGTCAGATTTATAAAAAAAATATACCAAATGATAGGTAAAGACATCATGCATCTACAAAAAAAAGAATTATATTGATCCATACATCTTTCGAGAAGTTATAGCATTATAAAGTTAAAAATATAAAAAAGAATTTTTTTACAAAAATCGTATTTTTTTTATTAAGTTTAATGTCTGTTTTCACCATGAAGATAAAATAAAGTCCGAAATTTTTTTTTACCATTATAAAGTATATTACATTAGCTTTAATTTAAGATATATATAAAAGTGTCAGACCTTCCGGAACATTTCCAAAAGTTAAGTTGAAAAAGTTCTATTTTCTATATGCATTTTTATGTTTTAAATCCCCCCTATATTAAGGGAAATGGTCCGATTTAAAAAAATAGTATGTCGAATGAAAGATCTATATAAATACTACTTCTCATAAAAAAATTGTAATGATTCATTCATTTTTCAAAAAGTTATAGCATAATAAAGTTAAAAATGGAAAATACAAAATCGAAAATTTTCACACAAAAATAGCATTCGGTAGCCATTTTCACCATGAAGATAAGATAAAGTCCAAAATTTTTTTTTTTTCATGATAAAGCATATTACATTAGCTTTAATTTAAGATATATATAAAAGTATCAGACTTTCCGGAACATTTTCAAAATTTAAGTTAAAAAAATTAATTTTTTGTGAAAAAGTTGTCATTTTAAATCCCCCCTTGTGGGCAGGTTAAGGGTTAAATTTATGAAAAAATTATACCAAATGAAAGGTAATGATATTATGCATCTATATAAAAAAGAATTATATTGATATGTTCATTTTTGAAAAAGTTATGGCACTTTTAAGTAAAAAAAATTGAAAAAATATCGAAAATTAGCGATTTTTAAATTTGTAATTTTTTTGGAGGTTTCCCCCATTTACGGGGAACGAGGGAATTTTTTTCAATTTTTAAGGGTAATGTCTTCGACTAGATACGATTTGTGATCTTTTGACGTATCATTGAAAGAAATCGGTTCGGTGAGAGCTGAGAAAAAGTGGTAACAGACAAAAAAAAAAAAAAAAAAACACATCTTAGTAAAACCAATACCTTCTCAGCTTCGTATCGAAACTAAAAGTACTATTTTTGGTAAGGAGTGTTTAAGAATAAAATTTTGTATTATTCATTATACTTTTTAGACAATTTAAGAACTTAATTTACATACATAATAACACTTATATTTTTGAATAAGTGCTATAATTTAAACTTTTAGTAAATACATAACTATCTTTAAATTAATAAATTTCTAAAAATAAATCAATTTGAATGAATACCTTAATAAAATTAGATGTTCTTGCAGAACAAGTAAAATTGATTTGAGAGTTAAGGCTAAAAGTTACATGATCAGTCTTTTCACCAGTTATTTTAAGATGGTTAGCAAATAAAACAACTGGAAACGGATAAACCATAGTCGTATCATGCAAAAATATAGAACTTGTTTTTAGTTTAGTGTGATACAGCAATAATGGACTTTCAAAATAACAATCTCCAGCATTGACGGATTTAGGATGAATATCTACTTTGCCATCTTCAGCAGTCACATATTTTGATAGTTTGCGGCCACTTGATTTCACTTTAGTTCTGAAATTGAAATATATTATTAGTTGATTTGTCACTAATATTAATTAAACAGCTACATACTGGGATACAGCTATATTAGGACATAAACCAGCAACTAAAACACACTTCAAAAGTTTAACATTACTAGAGTTCCTGTTGTACTCTACATCTGAATAATTAGAAGATTTAATAAATCCAAGATCACATAAATATTTAGCATATTGAGATTTAAGTTCAGATATCATATTCATGGTATTATGCATTAAAAAATTATCTCTGCAGAAATCCCAAGCTTTATTTGTTTGTTTTGCTTTCAAAAATTTACTCATTGCTCTAGTAACTAAAAGATGATCGCTTTGATTACCTTCATCCATTTCTTTTTTAACTTCACGACATTGCTGCTCTTTATTCAACTAAAATAATATTACATATAGAAATAAATAGGAAAAATAAATATATAAACTTACTGGCATGACAAAAGGGTCTTTGAAGTTCAAACTAGCAGCTATTGTCATAATTGGACTTAAACAGCTAAACATTGCACCTAAAATAATCATTTTTCCTTCGAGTGGCCCAATTGGTAATTTTGCTAAATGAAAACCTAATGGTGTTAAATTTTCTTTTTCATCGAGAGCATTCAAATCAGTCAATAGCTAATTACAATTTTTTTTTTCAATTAAAATAGTTAAATTTAATAATAAAATATCTTACTTTTAAGGAAACTTCTAAAGCTTTACTATCAGGAGGATTCATAACTTTTTCTAAGAACTGTGTTACCATACCAACTTGTAAAATTTTAGCTTGAAGTATCACTTCTTCTAAACTAGTACGCATCATTTCTGGTAAAACATAATCATCAAATGACTGTTCACGTCCTCTAGTGTAAAGATGATAACAAATTCCTGGTTTCACACGACCTGCTCTACCACGACGCTGTCTAGCATTAGCAACACTAACCCATTCTTCTTTTAAAGTACCAATATTATTTTCAGCATCAAATCCTTTTAGCTTCATACGTCCATTATTAATTACATATACAACATCATCAATTGTTACTGAAGTTTCTGCTATATTAGTAGACAGGATAATTTTACGTATGCCTAAAAAATAATGACAATTTAAATAAGCACAGAAAGTTGCTATCCTAGTTAATTTTTTTTTTTTTTTTAATACCTTTAGGTGGTGAATCAAATACTGATTTTTGAGATACAGTAGGAAGCATAGAATGCAATGATATTAGTATAAATTTTGCTGAAAATAAAAATATTAAATTAACTTTAATTAACTATAAATTAACGCAGAATTATATGCATTTATAAATTTTGATGTTATTTCGAATACACCTTCAGCCAGTACAAATTTTTATTAATTTAATTAGAATTCAGTGATATGTTGTTATTAAGGTTATATTATTGGAAGGATTAGGGGTATATCCCTCTAAAATGAAAAATATTTCTAGACTACAATATAATCATACAATAAAGTTGGACTTGAGACTCATTAAACTGGCTTGAACAAAAATTATAAATGTATATAATTCTGCACTATAATTATAAATTTATAAATTGATGTTGTATTTTGAGATTAGTCCTTACATGTATTTCCGTAACCTTTATCTCTTAAAATTCTAGTTAACTTTGATATTTGATCCCATCCAGATAAAAATACAAGAATAGCTCCGTCTTCTTTATTATTGCAAATATAGTTTATAAGTTCTACGAGAAGATCATAGTCAAAATCTTCAGAAAAAGGATTTTCCAACCAATTTAATACTGAATTTGGATACTTTTTCAAACGTCTCATATTACTATAACAAATAACCTTTGTTATATGATATTTATGCATAAAAATGATTAAACTTAGTTAAATAAAAATATTATATAATATAATAACTTTGTAGTATTTACTGTGTTAACAATATCATGTAAAAATGTGTGTATAATAATTTAACAAATTTGAGACTTTAATAAAAAATAACGAAAAATAATTTCTATCAATTTTATTATCAAGTTAAACTCAAATATTTTCTTAACCCTAAGAAAAAAATGAATCTGAGTCTGTATTTCATAGCTTACATGTCAAATTTAGCAATTTTTCAGAAGAACAAAAATAAATTAAAAATTTAAATGGTATCTCAATTGTCATTTTTGAAGTGTTAAATACAAAACTAATCAATAAAATTGACTTGTAATTTTATGAATAGAAAACATTCTTCTGTATAAAAATTATAAAAAAACTCAAAAATGCATTTTTGTGACATTAGATTTAGGATGTAAGTTGCAAAAATATATTTGTTTTTAAATTTTCCCTAAAATTTGAAGAAAAAAATTAGCTATAGACATTTTAATATTTTATACATACTTCACATATGGTATGACAAATTCATTGAATGGATCACCTGGGCGTACTTTTCGAGTCTTATGCACTAATTTTTTGGGAAAATATCTAAAACTAATTTAATTAATAATTAAAAATAGTTCCATTATTTTGAACTGTAATAATAAACTTAAGTTATATAATAATTAACACTATTACTATTAACTAATATTAGTTCTATATGTTTTATTATCATAATTAATGCAAGCACTATTTTGGAAGGGACTGGAAGCTATTATAATTCATGAGGTAAACTTTTCCAACTCTTTTATACAATATTTCAATTAAATTTAACTCATCATATTCAATTTTTTAATTATTAAAAATATGACTTTAATATATAAGTTAAAAGAATCAATGAGTTTCAATAGACTAACTTGAGTAAGGTAAAAACTCTTATCACATTGGAATTTAACTTAAAATATAAAACATTATTATTAATATAGTTAAATTTATTGACTTAATTTTTTTATATCATTATGATTTTTTATACATATTTTAACATACAAATTTTTAAGTTTCAAAAAAGACAAAACACAATATAATTTTTCTTAAAAATATTGCGTAAAATAATATATAAAAAATACCTTACTTATTATATCCTCATTTATGGGGATACAGAAAGTTTTAATTAATGATTATTTTCACAAACAAAATAATATTTTTTTCAAAAATACTATACCCATTTAGTGTATAAATATCTTCAAGATATAACTCTTCAACTGGAAAAGTAAAACCAGGTATGTTCAAAGTTGGACATTCATCAAAATATTTAGAAAATGCAGATGCATTTAAAGTAGCACTCATTAATATAACTTTTATATCAGGTCTCTAAAAACAAAATTTTTAATTTAACATATTTATTATTTCTAAAAGAAAATTAAATATAAATTTAATAATAAAAAAATTACCACTAGTATAATACTCTTGAGGATTGTAAGAGTAAAATCACTAATAGTATCACGTTCATGTATTTCATCAATAATCACATGCGAGTAATATTTCAAAGCAGAATCCTGTTGTATTTGCTGAAGTAAAATTCCTGTAGTACAGAATAAAATAGATCCATAATCTCTACTTAAACGTCTGAAATATTTTTTACGAAATATGTTAGATAAAAATCAAATAAGTTATTCCAAATAGTATATATCATCATTTATGAAATAAATTATTTTATTAATTTTAACTATTACCTTTCTAATCGAATTTGATATCCTACACTTCTTTCTCCTACACGCTCTGCTCGTTCATCAGCTACTCGTTCTGCTACTGATATAGCACTAATTCTTCTTGGTTGAGTACAAACAATTCTACACGTCGAACCATTGTCTGATAAAATTGCATCATCTAATATAAATTGAGCTATTTGTGTAGTTTTTCCACAACCTAAACATATATAGTAAAGTTATTAATATAATTTTTATCATATTTACATTAAAATTTACCAGTTTCACCACTAATCAAAACAACTTGGTTTGCCTTTATTAGATTTAAAATTTCATCTTTTTTGCTGTATGAAGGTAACTTTTTCCGGAATTCACACATAGATCTATATTTGGGAGTTTTAAATTTTGCTTCTAATTCATTTTTTAATGCAGAATTTTTCATTTCATCATTTTGAAGTTTCTTAAATAAAAATCAATTTTTAGAATTTGTATTATCATTGGAAATCAATTTTATTTTTTCTTACCAAATTACTTTGCACTGAAGCAATTAAATTATCTTCAATTGATCCAGTTATATGGTCAAGAAATTTTCTTTTAAAATTTGAATCTTCTAATTTTTTATATCTGTCCATTATATATTCAGCATTTTCATCAATATCTTCATCATCTAATGAATAACAATTTAAATTTCTAAAGCTAAAAAAAGACACCAGAATAAATATCTTTAACTTCAAAAACAAGTTTTAAGAAATTCAAAATAGATTTCTTTTATATGATATAAATTGAGTTGTCCAGTTGCAGGACATATATTAAAAAAATATATATATTTTTTTAATTTTCCTTTTTTGCCTACTTAGTTACAAGCTAATTCATAGAGAAAAGAAAATTACCAAAAAAAATATTTTTGTAACTGGATAACTAAATTAGTCATATATGGAGTGATTCTTTTAACACTAGCCACACAATTTCTTGCCTAAGTATAAAAATGTTAAAAAAGTATAAAAATAAAAAAAGCTAGATAAATATGTATGTTATTTTTAANTAACTTCTGAAAAAGTTTTTATCATCAGTCATTTTCTTAATTGGATAATTTTATATATTTTATAAGTTAGTTAAATATGTATTGACACGACTTACATTGCAATAATATAATCGAGACTGGTCAATAATAAAAGTTATTATTGACCAGTGCTTCAGAAAATATTCACAATTTTTCACCTAGTCAGAAGGAGAAGAGCCACTGAGAAATGACTAATGATAAAAATAGCAACATCATTGCTTTACCTCCAGTCTTAATTTAAAATGCTAATAACTCCCAAAGTATAAAACCAAAAGTTGTTATTGACTAGTCATTTTATATTTTATAAGCTAGATAAATATGTATGTTATTTTTAAAAAAAATAAAGCTGTCACCCCTTTAAGACATAAGGGATAAACATAATAAATATTTTATAATAGATAAATGGTAATACATATGTAACAAACAAAAACCAAAAAAAAATTTCACAAAAAAGTTATTATTTTAAGAAAAATTTCTAGCGTTAAAAGAATCACCATAAACATAATTTGAGAAAATTACTTTGAAATTTTTGAAGACACAATTTTTGAACTTAAGTTTTTACTAAATAACTTAGGTTTATATTCTTCAATAATTGGCATTTCTGTTTCCAATTGAAGAGCTAAGATTTCAACATGACCAATGCCTTCAATTCTTAACTTGATAAACTACAAGAAATATTCCTTTTACACTTTTTTTTTTCAAAAAAAAAAGAAATTGGTAGTTCTATTGTATAATAGAGTAAGACTTAGACAAATGTATCCACAAGAAACATGTTTACAAAAATAATATTTTATACTAAAAGTATCTCAGATTTCAAATAATAATGTATCAACAATCAAAACTTAAGAAGTGACAACACATCAAAGATATTACAATTTAAAAATTGATTAGACTTTAATTACTGTTTTTTATAAAATAAATTTTATAAAAATCATACACATTTGCCAAGTTCCTTTTGTTTTTCTTTTTTCTGAGCATGTTGCCATAATCGATTTTGTTCTTTATGCCATAAATCTAAATCATGACCTCTTAAATAAGGAGGTGGTTTAAGTTTTAGTCCTATGCCTCTTTTATTAACATTTAGTAATTCTTCATCTTCTTTTTGGCTTGCTCTATGTGCATACCAGAGACCTAAATAATTTAAATAAAATATTATACAAAGTATTAAATTATTTAATATACATACAAGTTGATTTTTAAAAATTAAATGAATGAGATATTAAATTTTTTAGCAATTTCCAGTGCCGGATTTAGACCTATATGAACTCTGGGACGTCACCTTGAGATGGGCCATCCTAGTCGGTATTAAAAATTGAGATGAGCCCCCCTTAATCTTGGCTTAGTAATTTGGATAAAAATTCATTTACACTACTTTTTTTACAAATATAAGATCCTCTTTCTACTACAAATTTTACAAATATTAAATGTCAAAAACTTCATGGTATATTATAGAGTTGTAAATATTTAAAATTAATTTGCAAAAAAATGTACAAATTTTTAATACAACAAAATAGTTTTTTACATTTGTTAGTTGAAATATTTTTATACTAAATTACCTATTTCTCGACCTTTAAGATGAGATGGGTGGCGTTTAGACTGATTATTTGAACCAGAAGGCTTATCAATATCACTTACAGAACTATCTTCACTGTGATTTGTTTTTGGTTTAGATTGTCTTGGACCCTTATTTTTATCTAATAAAAAGAAACAATTATACACAGCAATTCATATATTATCAAAATTATTGTAATGAATTACAAAAAAAATTAAGCAAGTAGCGATTAAAATTTAAACTTTTATCTGTCTTTATATTAGTTAGTAATATAAAAATTATAAATTTCTACCACTTAAATTGTCTAAACAGTTGAATTTAAATAATCATATATAATATTATATTTAATTAACAATTTATTAAGATATAGTTATGATATTTAAGTTTAAATTGTTAGGTACACTGTAAATATAAAAATACCTTTAGGTCCTGTTTGTTTTCCTATCCTAAAAGGTTTCATAGGAGGCATTCTAAAAAATAATTCTCATAGAAAACCAAATCTGAAATCAAAATTACATAAGTTCCATAAAGTTCGTATATTTTTGAAATAGTTGCTATTTGGAATTCTATTTGTAAATTATTATCAATTTTTCTCGAACATTAAACGGTCAAGTAACATTGATAAAGATATCATATAGTGGCGGTTATCTGTAGATTATAAATTATCTATAATGTATAAAATGAATAATCAAATTTATTAATTTATTTGTTTAACAATTTGCTTGTCTATTGATAGATAAGATATGATATATTTAGACTCATTTATTAATTACATATTTATTATATTACTATATTTCTTTGCATATATATCTTTTGTATTTTGCTTTAATTCGTCACAATAGAGTAGAGATGATCAATATGATTAAGTGATTTGAAACAGTTCACTTATATGAATGCGATTCGTTAAATCAATTCAATGATTTACAATTCAACAAAAATTAGCACCTAATCTATGTAAATCTGAATTACCAAATAAATAATTGTATTTTGAATCATTTTGACTTTAATTGATATTTCTAATATCAAAATCATTTAGTAGTATTATCAATTTTCAAAAGACTCGACTCAAATAAAATATTGTTTCGTTTTTAAAAATATTTAATTTAAATATAATTAAAAATTTTACTTTTAATAGTACAGAAAAGGGTCAGCCTGACATAGTTGGTTAAGAGGACGTTATACAGCCAATTTTAGAGCGTAAAAACATGTCTTTTTAAAATGCATTTTACACACTAAGTACTGCACTTAGAGCAATAACACCCATTATAAAAACGAAAGAGAACAATATTTTGGAGATGATCTCATATGCGTTTTTGAATATATTGTATTAGTAAAGAGTTATAACTGATTGAAGTTTAATAAAAAAGTACATTTTCAAATTCAATTATCAAGCTTAATATTAGGTTAATCTCAAAATGGCTATGAGATTTTGTTCGAAATATTGTCCTCTTTCAATTTTGTAATAGGTGTTAAAGCTCTAAATGTAATACAGAGTGAGTAAAATGCATTCTTTTAAGATATGTTTTAGACAACTTTTGTAGATTTTTTTGCCGACTAGTGCTACTCCTATCGATTATATTTTAAAAATATTTACAGATGATGGTGCGGCGTGCGGTGTTGCTCGATATTTCGCCGAAAATGTTATCAATATTTCTTTAATTAATTTTGCTAACACGTGCGGACCAATTTTATTATGCCCGCACTCAATGTTTGAATTGTTATTGCTTTTCAGAATTTTTATTAAATACGTTCCGGATGACAATATAATAATTGTTTTTCTCCTATTACTAGTGAATAAAGATACCATGCTAAGTCCTTTGATTTGATAAAAAAAACACATAAATGTTTCCCCAACTATGTTTTATGTGTTTAGAGTGAATTAAGCAAAACTAATTTTGTCGTATCTACTGCAGCACTGCTTGTCGCAAGTTGTACGAAATATTTGCAAGCATTTTGGCTAAAATTATTATTAAAGTGTGGTGTTGTACAAGGTTTTTTAAATGGGTAATAAAAATAATAAAAAAACCCAGCACAGGGGGGTCGCGGCACAGTGGTGACGTGGCATAGTTGGATCAAGTATAATGATATCTGACAGTGATTAAAATCACTATTCAAAAAAAACGCTTCGATGCAAATTTTTAGATAGTGTTCAATTTTAAAAAATTGATGTATTATTCCAAAAGCTACATGATCTGCTAGTTCCTTATTAATATCCTGATTAAGATAAAGTATGTCGAAAGAAAAAGGGATTATTAAAAAATATTATTTATCATAAAAAAATTGTGTTGATCCATACACTTTTCAATAAGTTATAGCATTATAAAGTTAAAAATTAAAAAAATAAAATCAAGAATTTTCACACAAAAATAGCATTTGGTAGCAATTTTCACCACGAAGATAAGTCCAGAGGTCAAATTTTTTATTTCCATAATAAAGTACATTACATTAGCTTTAATTTAATATATATATAAAAGTGTCAGACCTTCCGGAACATTTTCAAAAAATAAGTTGAAAAAGTTAGTTTTTGTAAAAAAGTTACTATTTTAATTCCCCTCCTGTGGGCAGGTTAAGTGTCAGATTTACAAAAAATATATACCAAATGATAGTTAAAGACATCAAGCATCTATATAAAAAAAAATTATATTGATATGTTCATTTTTGAAAAAGTTACAGCAGTTTTTAGTAAAAAAAATTGAAAAAATTAGCGATTTTTAAATTTGTAATTTTTTTGGAGGTTTCTCAGCTTCGCATCGAAGCTAAAAATATTTTCTAATAAACAAAAAATTACCCGTCAATTAGTTCTAAAAAGATATAATAAAAATTCAAAGTAAGTATATTATTTATTGTTGTAATAGCGATCGCTGTAATTCAATCAGATCCATAAAAGGGTAGATAGACGATTCTTCATTGATAGGGAAATATTAGTGTCCCAACTAAAAAATTTTTTTACTTGGCAATTCATCGTTGTTCCTATGCTCATTTTTAGTATATTCAAGATTTTTTAGCTTCGAAACTGAGAAGAAATTAATTTTACTATGATGTGTTTTTTTTTTGTGTCTGTCGCCAACTTTTCTCAGTTTTTACTGGACCAATTTTAATGAACAATATGTCAAAAGATTACAAATCGAATTTTGTTGAAAACATTGCTCTCGAAAATTGAAAAAATTTACCCCGTTCCCCGTAAATTGAACAAATCTCAAAAAAATTATGACTTGAAATTGACAAATTTCAACATTTTTCATCCTTTTTTGATAAAAATAGCCATAACTTTTTGAAAAATAAATAGATCAAACAAATATTTTATTATTAATATCTTAGATATATCCCTTTCATTTGGTGTATTTGGTTTACAGCTATAGTAGTTTGCCTAGTGAACCTATTTTGTCAGGGAAAAATGAAATACATTTGGCAGTTTCACCAGTTGAATCATCTGTTTACTTTACAACAGAAAGCATATCGAATCAAACAAATTTAAAAGTAATATTATAATTCTATGTATCCAGTGACATATTTAGGGATCGGTTAAGTAGGCTATAGCCTAGGGCGTCTTTTTTTAGAAGGTAGCATTTTTATTTATAAACTAATGTTTAAAAGACGTATATGTCCTTTCAACATTAGTTAAATTAAACCTTACTATATGTAAGTTACATACTATAAGTTAAAAAAGAAATTATCCGTCACCTTTCTTATATGTTCAAATGGCCGTCGTAGTTTAAAGAAATTCTATTTTTGTGTTAAAATTCTACTAAATTTCGTATGTTTCAGTACATGAGGTCTCGGGTTCAATTCCCAGGATGCTAACAAGATTTTCTTATAGATTGTGTCTGGTCCCCGGTACAAGCCGGTCATATTACCCATCCCCTTCCATCATTGGCTTAGTCAAGAACCATCTTTGACACCCTAACATGTGAAAGAGGACCACCCACACTCTGTAACATGTTAAGTTCGAGAAATAGAAAAATGTAAAACTGATCATCAGTTACAAGTGGCGGCTTGTGGTTTGGACGACGGGACAATCGTACCCCCTACTAAAATTAATTAAAAGAAGAAAATTGTTTATTCTTAATCCCCACCACCAGCACCCACAAGACGCCACTGCTGATCAATTAACACTTTTCAAAATATTGATAAAAATATTATTAGGTTTATTTGAAATAAAGGAAACAAGTAACAACTTATAATTACAATTTAAAAAGGTTTAGATTACTTTACGATTTATCTTTTAGGTCAAAGATATGTGTATTTCACAATTAATAGCATACATAAAAATATATAATTATAAAATTTTAACATTGCTTGTATTTAAACCGGGGAGATCTCATTCGTGTTCTATCCAACAGTTTTTTTGTTTTGTATGTTATGACTACCATTTTGCCGATTTTTTGTAAATCTCATCTACCAAGTAGGTGATAGGTATTTCCACTGTGGCTACTTTTCATGCACATTGACAATGAAATTTTGATACATTAAATATATCAAAATATTACTAATTTTATATTTATTTATCTTGTTCAAACAAAAAACCGTCTGTCAAAAATACCAATGACACGTATCCCAGTTTAAGTGTAAATATACGCATTGTAATACTTATACTAAGTACAAAGTCAGTCTTCTAATCAGAAGGCCAAAACTGCTGATAGTATTATAACACCTAGACTACAACAAATGACAATTGCTAATTATTTTCAAAAAACCATTAGTGCAAGAAAAAGGAAAATATTAGATCAACAAGTTATTAAAATTAATATAAAAGAATATTACCCTTTAAGTATTGTAGAAAACCCAGAATTAAAAATATTTGTTAATATGATTAACCCTACCTATGTAATCCAATCTAGAAAAACAATTTCTACTTCATTGTTACCAGTGTTATATAATTAATCTTATAACCAAGTTAAAGTTGATATATGTAATAACGCTCAATTTGTCTGATTACTGATGGATGGACATCTTCAAGGAATGAAATGTATTTAACTATTATTATTTATTTTATAGGTACAAATTGTGAACTAAAATCATATCTACTTTCACATCCCAAATTACCGGTCGAATACACTAGTGACAATCTGAAATCTTCACTATAACAATTTACTAATAATTGAGGTATTCAGAATAAAGTAGTAGCTTGTACATCAGATAATGTAACGAATATCACTTTAGCATTGCGTTTACGTCAATAGGGACAACATTTTTGTTTTGCTCACACATTGAATTATATAGTGTAATTATCTCTCGAAGAATTCGAGCAAAGATAAAAAATATTGTTAAATATTTTAAAAGAAGTTTAAATGCTTCTGAAAGTTTAAATAAAATGCAAGAACAGTTAGATTTATCTTCAACTTTAACAATTATTCATGTGGTCACATAGTGGAAATTCATACTAGATATGTTTGAAAGATTTTTAGCTCATAAAAATCCAATTCTCTCCACATTAGTAGATTCTAATTTTGAAGTTAATTTAACATTAAATAACTGGAATATATTAAAACAATCAATTAACATATTAAAATGCTTTAAAGAAATAACTGTACAACTTAGTATTGAAAAAATGTATCAATTTCTAAAGTAACTTTATTTAGCTAAGCCATAATTATCTACTGTACAAAATTACACGTAAAAGATCTATCATCTCAAGCAAATAGTATGGTTTCAAAATTAAAGACAGATGTTATCAAGAGGTTTGTACAATATGAAAAATAACTGATGTTAGCTGAAGCAACATTTTTTGACCCTCAGATGTTTAATAATACAAAACAAGTAATAATAAACTAAAGAAAACAAATAATCTTACAGAATAGCTCTGCTCAAAATGATAATTCTTCTATAACAACTCAAGTAGACAATAATATTGGGAATGAAAACTATTTAACATGTATTTGATATTGGAGTCAAAGATGTCATTTAATCTTTAAATTTATTAGCTTCAATAATAGTAGAGTTGATAAGAATATTCATGAACTCAAGACTCATTATAATGGTGGAATGTTAATAAGAATATATATCCCACCCTTTTTATTATAATGGAAAAGAGATTATGTATACAAGCTACTTCAGTTCCAAGTGAACGCATATTTTCTAAGATTGGCCAAATTGTTACAACAAAATGTAGTCTTTTAACGAATAAAAAGATTGAACAACGTGATCTTTTATACTGAAATTTAAAATAAAACTATTAATTAATTAACTGTATTATTACAAAAAATATGTACATATTATAGTTTTGCGCAATTGCTGTTACTATAAGTGTTATAAATTTAATTATAATCAAGAGTATTCTATTCTATTAGAATATAAATTAATAATTTAATATTCTATATTCTATTCTAATAATGAATAGTAATTTTTTGTTTTTAATATTATACATATAAATATATTTAAGTCTGATGAATTGCTATTTGTTATTTAGATTATATAGTTGTTGTTATAAGTGTTAAGTTCAACTTGGAAAAATCGAAGCTAAAATTTAATTTTTTTATTTTGTTGCAAAATATTCATTGATCAAGGATTAAAATAATTTAGAATTAATCAGTCGTGATATCGATCTTTGATTGTAATTCAGCAACAGTGATGCCATATAACGTTTGATGAATTAGCTCAAATGCTCACACTGAATCAATTCAGTGAGTTGACTCATGAGTTCACGAATTACACATCCTTACAACAGAACACTTTTATAATGTATCAACTGTTATCAATAATTTTCTAATATTCAAATATTTTAAATCTATAGATACAGTAGATTTTAAAATTATAATATAACTATAGTAACTATATTACTTAATGATACAGCCTCAAAACTTCATTTATAGCTTAAACATACCTAAATGATTTATGTTTAAATACCAATTTAGTTCGTTTTGAATACACAATGTAGAAATAATATATTTTTCGTTCCATCGTATAGAGTTCCTCTGAGGACCTCAGTAAAGATATCTTATGATATCAATGCGGCACTTAAAGTGTGACCAACAGTATTTATGAATCATAAAATTATTCTAAAGCTATGAAGTAAACATTTACCATTTAACTAATACTTAATCATTATTGTAATGCACAATAATGATGACGCACATTATCAGTAAATTGTATGATACGTAGAACTTTTAAAAGCATAAAATTAAATACATAAAGTATGTTTCTACCATTTGGCTATTTGAATTTTTTAGACCATTAAAACACTTAATGTTTGTGTGATATACTTATGAAGTATTAATATTTAGTTCAAACTAAATAAATTGATACACGTTAGTAATATAATAAAATTAAAAATATTGTTATCCGTTTAAATTTCTACTAAAGTGTAAACACAAGTGATTAACAAATGCGTATCCAAAGATATTATTACAGTGAGGTTCTAACTATGTTTTCCTGTTTTAAATTTTTTAGTACTGATGCAACATTTCAATTTAGAGGGTTCACATGCCATGGATTTTTCTCTTAAGGAGTCAATGGGATTAATATAAATTATGAATTTCGATTATTTGAAATTAAAACAAAACTAACTTATATTTGTATAAAATTAAAAAATTGAGAACTAACATAAAAACTAGTAATACATATTCTAATATTATTAGCATTAAGTATTCTTATTATTGGTTTTGCATTAATTTATGACATGTTAGTTGGTCATGCTGTTGGAAAACGTTCGCCATTGTTGCACACGAACCGCGCCCCGTCCTAAGTGATGCGCGCTTTTCAACCGCAACCCGCGCACCATCCAACTCACACCACTTCAGTTCTCACGAACGACAAAATACCACACCATATTCGACATAACCGATCAAAACATCTAGTTTATACGTTCACATTCGATTGCTCTGTCGATCTTAACGCGAACTTGTACGCTTTCAAGTGAAATTTAGTCATCTTAGTGTTTTTTGCTCTCGAAAAAGAATAAAAATGGTTCATCTCATTACCGATTCTGTAAGTTAAACTTCTTTCTACATATCGTTCAAAGTTAAATGTTTTAATGCCAAAGTCCAACATGAAGTAGTAATGTAATGCGTGATCGTAGCCACAAGGTCGTTATATAACGACTACCGACATCACCGTCTATTGTGGAGAAACCCGGGCGATGTGAAGAGTTTTTTTTTTTAATTTAGTTTCGGCAAAATGACTTATGAGGAGTAATTGATTGAATTTAATTTAAATTCGCTACTAATACAAAAACTAACAAATTACGCACTGTTAATATTAACCCAATGCTATAGATCATCAAAACATAGAACTTTATGACTTAAAGAAGTGAATTTGATACCTTATCTTTTTACAACAATTCACTTAACATTCTTAATTAGAAATATAATGTACATTTATTCAACATTCATACCAAATGAGATTATTTCCAGGCTAAGTTTCTGTGTAATGCCCTTAATAGCCTTTTTTAAAATACTCTTTAAAATTGTATAAATATTTTAAAAATAGTTATCAAATTATATTACTTAAAAATTCTAATAGCAATATCAATTTTATAGTATAATAAAAAATTGTTTATAATTATTACTATAGAAATTTCTATACAAGTATTATTTTATAATGAGCTAAATATTTTTATTATTTTCACTAATGTTTGAATAATTTTAATATTGCTCTTACTCGGATTAAATATGTATATTTTGTATTTGATATTTATTAGTTACAATTATAGTTTTCTCCATGCGTAATAAAATTTTTATGATTCTATAATATTTTTAAATGCTAAGTACAAACATTTTATAAAAATAAATATACATTTTATTGTTGATTATAGATAATTTGATAACAGTATCACTGGAAAGTTTTTTTTTCAATTTTATTATTAATGTATGCTTCTATTTAACCTTTGATATTAATTTTTGGTGCTGTCATTATGTTTTCTATCTTTTATTCATGAGATTTTTATATATTAAATTATTATAGTTAGGTCTTAAAAAATGTATATATTTCTTACCTTTAGTACGCTAAAATAAGTGTGTATGGGTAATTCTTTTTAAATAGTTGATAATAAATTAAAATTACATACATTATACCATATCACCTTTATGCTAAAGATGCCGAGGTTAACATAAACATTTAGTCTACAAATAATTACTAAGTGTTTTTAAAGAAAAATGAGGAACTAGTAAAGTGTATGAATTTTTTTAATCATTTTTTTTTCAGAAACCATAAATAAAACATTCATAAATTCACTATTAAGATAATGATAATTTTTAGTTAAATTTTATTTATTTTAAACTTTAATTAAACATTTATGTTTTACTTGCAGGCCGATTTAAGTGCTCAGTTAACTGATGCCAAACAAAAATTGGTTATCATTGATTTCTTTGCTAAATGGTGTGGCCCATGTAAATTAATTACACCTTTTATTGAGGTAAATTAGATTGAAATTTTATTTCATTTATGATATTAATATAGTTTGTTTTATTTTTCTCAGAAGTTAGATGCTGAATATCCAGATGTTGTAATATTAAAAGTTGATGTTGACGAATGTGAAGAAGCTGCTATGGAATATAATATCCAATCAATGCCAACCTTTGTCTTTATTAAATCTAAACAAGAAGTAAATAATTCAGCAATTATTATTACAAAAAAATTTGCATTAAAATTTTTATTAATCAATTATTATATTTTTAGATTGAGAGATTTTCAGGAGCTAACGAAGCAAAATTAAAGGAAATCTTATTAAAGAACAAATAATAGCTTAAATGATTATATTACAGTCTGAATGTTTGGGCTTCTTATAATTTAAAATATTTTTACATTAAATTAAAGTAATAGATTTTATTATTTATTATTAAATGTCTTACATTATATTTGGATAATAATCAATACAGTGAAACAATACATTTATACTTTATTAAATTATTGTTATGGCATCATGTTATTAAATATTATTTATACGTAAAATTTCTCCTTTTTCATTTAATAAAAAATATTATAATACTAAATTGAACCTAGTTTAAATTGGTATTTAACTGAGTAATCAAGAGTGTTATACATATTGTGTATTAAAAATGTATTCTTTTTTGAGATTATTTTTCATATTTCATAAAGAAACTTTTTTAAAAAGTACTCTATGAGCTGTAGTCATTTTGAAAACTTGGAGTGTAGAGTAATTAGAGTTTAGTTATTATTTTATTATGTAAACTTCTCCCACTTTTGTCTTTTACTCTACAAATATCAGTAGCTTTAAAATTACTTATTAAAAATTAGTTATTGTTCTGATTTACAACAAGAATCCTAAAAACTGACTATTGAAAGAATTCAGAAATAAAGAATAAAATAATAATATTGTACACCCAAGTTGAAATTGTAGATAAAAAAGTTTGATTTTTTTATTTGTTCTTTATTAGTAAATAAAACTGCCAAAATAGAATGCTAATCATTTGGTATATAAGTATTCATTAAGTGCTAATATACAGTGTAGTATACTTCCTGAAACTTGCAAATCATATTTTTTAGAATCCCTATTCTAATAGATATAAATTAAACAAAAATTGGTGATTTTTAATGAAAAGAACTTTTATAAATATTCAATTTTTCTTTTTTTTTGTAATTATAAATATTAATAGGCTACAAAGTGAAATTGTTATAAATTTAATTTATTTTATAGTAAGCTATACTTTCAAGTATTTTGTGCTTGTTTTTTAAAAGTATTCCCAAAAATAAGTTATACTTTCCACAAATAGCTATTTGAATCTATTATTTTATAGCTAGCAAGATTGTGTACATTTTATCATCAAATATTTTGATTATTTAATGTAAACAAACTAATCTGTCACCCCATTATTTTATGATTGTTATTAATAAAATAGTTACTATATTACCATAAAAATTTATGTATCTTTTAAAATATCTTAGAAAAACAAGTACTAATTATTTTTGAAAATTATAACTAATTAATATTTATACTTTTATAAAAGAAGACAAATATATTTAATATAATAAATATTGATCAACAACAAAACTGAAGATAAAATGTTTAGTACTATTGATACCATAGAGCCGATTATTCATAATGAGTATATATACGTATTCAGTAAGTAAGGAGACGGGTTTTTATTGTTTTCATTGTAACAATTGACCTGTATCCTTACCTACTGAACAACATTTTCTATATTATCCCATGAGTGACGTGATAAATATCATTACTTTTATCATTAAACTTAATTTAAGTACTGATATATATTTAAAAATTAAACTATTTGATTAATTATACATTATTATTTAAACATCAATTATAAATATTAATAATTTAGAAAGTGTATAATTCTTTTCATTTTTAGTATAGATAAATAAAGATTATAAAATTTTAATTTCTTATTTTGTAAAAATAATATTAGAAACTGGACTATACATTTAATCAAGCTAAGTAGTTTAAAAATATTCTTTATTTTCAACAATTATATTTACAATTAAGTAAAAATATAATTTAGATATAAATCAAATTTTAACTGTGAAAATTTGAATTTTGAGTTGTATACCCTGTGCTAGGAGTACCTTTTCTTCCTTCTGCTGCCAAAGCAATAGGTGGCCTGTTATCAAGTGGGTTCAATCCTATCCAAGTTCGATTTTGAGTAGTTAAAGACAAGGACATGTCTGATCTTGAAGTTAGTGCTGATGACGCTGTCAAATTTTCACTTAAAGATTGAATATTTCTTAATTTATTTGAAACTAATGATACATCAGGAATATCTGAAAAAAAAAAAAATAGAAACATATTGAAAATACTTATTACCAACTTACCAGTATTTTCTTGAAAGAGAGCTACCTCAATATCTTCAATACCAACAATTAGTTGCATAAATTCTTTTTTATTTTCAATTACTCCTTCTGAACAAGTAATATTAACAAAGATTTGAACCTGAATTTGTCAACAAAATTTAATAAGATTTGTTAAATAATAATCATTCTTGAAGTAATTACCTCAGGAAAGTTGGCTAGTTTGGCAACATTTGGTCTTCCAACCGAAAAAATGTAGCTCTTTTTATTATGAGCTTTACATAAACTTTTAACTTTTTTAATATGATCCATTAATCCTTTCATACTCAAACTACATATAAGAATACCAATGTGAGTACAATCTTTAATTTTCTCATGAATATAATATTTTTGTTTAATAACTTTTGATAACGATTCTTCAATTAAAACATCAAAATTATTTTTGTAGAGATATACTTCAGATCCTAATAGAAGTATAATATTCAGTATTATCAACTTAAATCAAGGACATTTTTGGTATAACATGTAATAACTAAAGTTTGGAACTTTAAGTATTCATAAGATTTATTTAGATTATTTTTATTTTTTATGAAAATTTATAGGCATATACAGTACCATAACATTTTTTGTTCTAGGGGAGTGATCCTTACATGAGGATAATTAAATTCCTAATTAATATACATTGTTTAGTGTAAAAAAAACAAATACAAATTTATTTATCATTGATGTGCACAAAATGACTAATATAAATTTTATAAATGCATAAAGTTCCGAGTTCTAATATTAACATTACCTTGTTTATTTAATATGAAACGGTTTACATTATTCATGTAATTATCAAATGTTAAATAGATAATATACTTATAATTGCAATCACTAAATTGTCTACCAAACAATTTTACAACATCTTTATTTTCTTCACTATGAGGTAAATCAAGATTAGAAATAACAATTGATTTAATAGAAGCTAACGATTCAACTAAATAATCTATAAAAATAAAGTTTTTTTGAGTACTTTATAAATAAAAAAAATTTAAAAAAAATACTTCGTAGGTGATGATAAACAACATCATATAAAACTAAAATTGGTTCATCTATAGAACTAAATTGTTCAAGTATTATGGTAGAACACTTTTGTATGTCTAAATTTTGTTTTGGTAAAATGTAATACACAGGAAGACAGCTAGTTGGTGTAAGACATGCTCGTCCAAAATGAATCACACAATCAGCATTTACATGCTGAGCTGCTGTTTCATCAACACAACAGCTTTAAAAATCGAAAACAAAATATTTAAAATAATTGATACTTTTGGATCTTTATAAAATTTTTCTTTTACCTGCCATAAGATGTATCACCAAGTATATATACTCGAAAGCCTAACAATTTTTCAAATTCTAATGATATTTCTACACTAATGTGTAACATGTTATCAGGTAATTGAATACACACCTAAAAAAGATTGAAAGTTTTTATATTTTTGAATTACTTATTAAGAAATGGAGATATTTACTGTTTCATAATTTCCTTGTTTAATCCAATCAACACATTTTTCTATTTCGTTTTTATATTGATCCATTTTCTCTATGTATAGTTTGATGAATAAAATAAAATATTACTTATTCAAACAAATTCCATTTTTTTAAATCTCAATTTTGAAAATAAGTTGCAAAAATTTTCAGTGTAACTAGAATGTTGTTTATTAGATAAAATTTAGATCCTTATTAGTTATGATAAAAATTACTACATTACATCCCACGAAATAATTTAAAAGTATCAGTGTATTAAAATAACTTGTCACAATTGTAAAACAACCTTACAGGGGTAATATAAATTATTTCTTAACATTATGAAAACGTTAAAGGTTAATTATTTTACTTGTGTTATCAGTTATTATCTATTCCTTATTGCCACAGATATGAAAATAGTTTTCATTTGGTCTATGGTATTACACTAATACTACAAAACAACAGTATTTAGTGCTAATTATTATTTAGAGGTAGACTCGGAAATTGTTCTAGGAGAGGGAGTAGGCGTTTACCAACCCATTTTTTTTTTGCTCCACCACCGGCATGTCTACACAAGGGGATACCTTTGGCACCTACCTGTCTTTGGGCGCAAGGAAGGGGCGACCTGAAACGAGGGATGTATTTAAAAATTTTACGCCCTAAGAATAGAAAAAAATCTCCCAAAACTTTTTTTGTACTATTTTTATATAAAAAAAAATATTACTAAAGTTTTGCTACTCTGAAAATCTAAAAGCATATAAGGTTAATATTAAAATGTATTCATTAATAATACATAAGTAAAAAGTGTATTTATTTAAACTTCACATACATACTTACTAAAATATATTATATTAGTATAACAATAGAAATGAAAATTAAAAAAATTTTCTTATAGTTTTTTCAATAGATAATGTGTTAACTATATCTTCATAAACCAATTTCACGGTCAGAAATGATTCTATGGTTAAAGCAGCCAAAGAATTAATCTTTTCGTTAGTAGTTTTTAATCATAAATATGATTTGATTCTTTTTAAGACCGAAAAAAAATTTTTTGTAGAAGAGCTATATTTAAGACAAGAAGAATACTCTTAATTTAGTTTTTATAAAAGGATACAAATCTTGATAATTATTTTGTTGAAAATACTTAGACTGCAATTGGGGGAGGGGTGACTCACTCACCAATAATACCGTATCTGCGCTATCTGTTAAAAGGAATATATTACATTGTTGATACTAAAGAATTATTAGTAATTATAAATAATAAGTAATTAAGTGGTTTATGATAAATAAATCACTAAATAGATATTTATATATAATCTCAACAAATTGTGATTCTTATACACAATATTTCAGCTAATATATATAATAGCTAATATTTTTCACTTTCCATTGATAGTTAATATTTTTTTAGCCCTAAACTGTATGAAGTATAATTCAGTTTTTACTATATATATTCAGAAACTTTTTTATTTACTATTTAAAAAAACAGATTAAGTTTATTTGAAATATACATTTAAAAAATATAACTGTGACTCCCTAGGCTTTCTTTGATTTATGTTCTAGCCAAGTATTGATTTGCTTTATTCTTACTGTCCACCATTCCTTTTGTTCTTTTATAAATATATTATAATCCTCTATTCTAAAAAAAAAAAGGTTTAATATTTAATAATAATTTTTGCTGAAATATAAACATAAGTAAAAATAATTTTTAGAAAATGTAATTAAAATGTGTTTATATAACTATTTTAGAAATTATTTAAATTTTACGTACAAATCTTTAACATCTTCACAGCTAGTAGCTAAAAATTTCCAAGTTTTAGTTTCATCTAGTATAGCAACAGAAGTAATAGCATCATAAACTTCATCAGGAGGTGCATTAAACATGTCTTTAATAATTTTTCGATTAATTTTTTGATTACTATCCAACATATAAATCTGAAAACAAAATTATGTACCTAATACACTAGTTTAAAAAATAAAATATAAACATTGAATAAACAATTTTAGTTTTAACAAATTATAGTAAAAAAGTATTGTATAAGTTAATTTATTAATAAGTTCAACAAAAGAAAGAAAGAAAGAATGGCAATGGTATAAATTATTCTATGCTCAATAGATTACTGATCAGTTTTTAATTTTTCCTAAAATGAGGAAATATACTTTGTGATCATAAAATATTTATAATGCATAACATAATATAAAGTCAACTCTCTCACTATATAATCTCGTAAGTATCGCATTGTCTCAAATGATAATCCAAAATGAGCTGAAGTTGTATTTTCAGGGTATAAAATTTCACTTTTTACAATCCAATTCCCACGAACTAATAACGCAATTTTTTTTAAAGGTTCAAATATTGATGAAAAATTTTCATCTGCTAGAACACCACATTCTTTGAGGAGTTCCAAAAGTTTTTGGGAAGATATCATTTTTGCTACAAAAAATAATTATTTGATTATCATATAAATTATTTTTAACACAACAATTGCTTACTGTTAAACACCAGTATTTTTAATTTATTTTCCAAGGAATAGTGTTTTATCATTGAATGTGATAATTGTCTTGATCTTATAGGATTGATGTCTTCATTAAGTAAATTTGTTCCTTTTTTACTGTTATCTGAATCAGCGTTTTTATTTGTAGAACTACTTGATTTTGGTTGCATAAATTTATCTAATTCAGTCTTAAACATTGAAAAAATTTAGATAGTTAAAACTTATAATTTAACAAATATTTTAAAATTATAATCTACTTAATTATAAACAAACATATGGGTGTGGGAAAGCTGTGGCATCAATGAAAAACAATAAAGCAGTAATACCAGTTGCACTGCTAGTAGAAGTATGGATAATAATAGATAGTGCTGACATAAGATGGTTGAAGGATTTTTTTAATGATATCCTATTGAAAGGGAAAATTTCAATATGTATATGACAATATGATGGCACTTATACCAAGATAAAAAGTATGGGCGTAGTAACAGAAGATTATAGGGTAAGAGTAGGAGTGTACCTAGGTTCTACTTTAGGCCCTTATTATTTTTTATAGAAATGGATGAAATTACAAGAGAAATACAAAGAGAGGTACAGTAGTGCATGTTTTTTGCTGACAATATAGTGTTAATAGGAGGAAGTTAATCATGTTATGAGGAGAAAAACCAGAAGCTGTAAGAACAGTTATAGAAATGAATGTTGAAGGAAGAAGAGATGGAGGATGACCAAAAAAGAGATGGAGGGATACTATTGAATACGATATGAGGACAGCTGATGTGTGCATATGTGATGTGGTAGATCATGTCAAGTGAAAGTTTAGGATAAGGGTAGTCGACCACAAGTAGTTGGGATAAAGAAAAAGAATAAGAATTTAAGGAGTTATATAAACAAGGTTAAGTTACATGAGGTTCAAGATACAATACTTTCCTCAATTAATAAAAAAATTCTAGTAATTGTATTTAATACAAAAAAAAATTAATTGAAGAAAGACTTGTTAAATTGCAATAATTTTGAAAACTAATAAAAAATTTGTAAAAATTACATAAATATTGATTGAGTAAACATATCATCTTAGTTTTTGGTTATATTATTTAAAACACTGGGTAACTGATTACTTAGTGCTTATCTAAAATAACCATTTATAATGTGGAATCTCTAAGAATAAAATTTCTTTATTATATTATACTACAAGATAATGAGTCTAATAACTAAAAGCAATATGGTAACTTCTTGATGAAGAGAAATTTTTAACTCATTAAACAGATAGTTATTCTATGAACATAGTATTGATTAATTTTAATATATACTTTAAAAGATATAGTTATTTACCCTCGAAAAATATTGACCATTTGGTACATAGTTTAAATTTATCCAAGGTTCCATTGCTCTTTGTTTAACCATTTCTTGCATTTTTTTCTTTTCACTTTTTCTTCCAGGTCGGTCTTTAAACTTTGCCATTATTTGCTCACTTTCTTCTTCATCTTCTTCCTCTTCTTCTAAACAAGTTTCATTACAATAAAGTGATTCATTAAAATTAAATTAAATTTTAGAACATGTAAAGTTTTGTTAAAAATATAATGTAATGATGTGAGCAATTTATCTTATAAAAATTACCATTTTGCTCTTGAGTTCCATTTATTTTATCATTTTTTGGATCAATTTTGTCAATATAACTTAATTTAGGTAACATATTAAGATTTTTTTTTAGTGGACATAAATGAAGACTTTTACCAGATGCAAACATTATCATATCTGTTGAACTAGATGAAATATTATGTGACTCAAAACTCAATTGATCTATCATTCCACTAAATGAATAAAATAAAGTCGAATAAACTATACAATATTATATTTTACTTATGAATTCTTTTTTTGATGTTTTAAAAAATCAATAACTAAAATTCAGGCTTATTCTAATTCTGATTTTTTCTTTACAAAACATAAATAGACCAAAGAAATATTTTAGTAATTTATAATATTAATTTAAGTTGTCTATTTTTATTTATTTATATATATTTATTTATTCTAAGATTGTAATATAAAAAAATATTTATTTTACAAGGTATTAACTTTTTAAATAAATTAATTAATCATTAAAATTAAATACATTTCAGCAGTAATAGATTTTTTTTTTTATATGCTTTTTAAATCCATTAAGGGCCATAACAGCCTCTGCAATAAGAAGAGGTTTTCTAACCGTTGATACTCAGGGACGGGTCATTAATCTGTTGACGGATACTTGATTACTAGATCAATGTTTAATAGATGTTTGAGAACATACTATGTGTAGTAAAAAATTTTAATTTTTGATTAATAGTTTAATATAGGTTAAAATTATATATATATATAAAATATTTCTTTGATCCATTTATATTTCATAAAGAAAAAAAATATACATATTATGTTATTTTTTTACTTATTAAGCAAAAATAATGTGATTTTTATGAAAAGGTTTTTTAGTTAGTTGTTTAGTGATCTCAAAAAAAAAAAAACAAAATTATAAAGAAAGAATAATAAAAAGTATTTAATTACACCTAATGAATCAATGATTAATAAGATAACATACTTACCTAGGATAAGTACTTTTTTCTTTTGAATTAGAACCACCAACATCAGCTGCTAATTCTTGGCCATGGCCTTTATCATAATTTAAATCTGTATCTAGTGCATATGATATGTCTATTTCTTCACATTCTTGTTTATATTTGCACTAAATAAAATAAAAAATAAATATATTATTAAGAAATAGAAACTTTTAATTAGTTTATTACCTGAGTAACACTTGATGACAGTAATTGATCATTTCTGGATAATCTGGTAGGATAATGCAAGAGGATTAAATGCCTTAGATCATCACTTAAATATACAGGTATCTGAAAGGTAACAAAATGTTTAATTTTTAAGTAGAGTGCTGATTTAAATGCGTTTGTAAATTTTGTTTGAGCCATTTTAAAAGAATCCAAGTTTGTGCAAATTTGTTGTTTGAAGGGGGCACAGAAGTATTTTTTATTATAGGGGGGAATAAACTCCATTATTCCCCAACAGTAAAGCCAGTTAGAATAAATTACTAAATTTTCAAGCTTATTAATTCAAATTTGTACCGGCAGTTGATGTATTTAGAGTAACTTACAAAATTTATAAATGCATATAAATCCACACTATAAATTTTCCAATTACAGTTTATTTTAATACTCACCTCCTTGATAATTTTATCATTAGATACTACCGTATTCATTTTAAATAGAATTCAATACATTTATTTCGGATATTTGTTGTAATAATTTACAAAATTAACAATATTTAATAAATTCCCACATGTACCCGCAGGAAACTATTACTAGATGATAACTGTTGTTATCATATTAAATATTGTTGTGTTTTTAGTACGATAACATACAAATATTATCAATTTTTTAACATTGATAAACTATTAGTTCATTTACTCGTTATTCTCTTTGAGATCATATTGTGATCTAAGAATAAACCCGTGAATTAAAAGATACTGAAAATAATAATAAATGCGATACAACATTTTTTTTCTGGTTGAAAAGAAACGATTGAAGAAAAAATTGCTATAATTTTGAAAAATCTCCTTCAATCTCATTAAAGGAAAATATCTAAAAAAAAACACATTTTAGTTTTCATTTTTTATTGATGTTATACGGAATAGGTTGTGTAATTATGAGACTTATAAGTTATTTGTATTATAATTGTATATAATATAAGGACTGCAAGACTTGTAAAAAGAATGTGACTTTTAACCTTTGTATTATGCTAACAAATGTAAAAATACATTCTAAACTATGTGTTATTTTAAATGTATTAAAATTTAAATTACTGCACTTAGTGGGTTGTTTAATAAAATTAACAATAATTGTTAATTATTGTTTCAAATTATTCCAATTATTGAAATAATTTTTAGAAAACTGAAATAAATTATTACAAATTTTTATCAATAATACTTCAGACATATATGTTTTCAACGACATCTTCTTCTTCCTCGCTATAATCCCAACTATTTGGGGTCGGCTACCCTTATAATAAACTACCACTTGACACGATCTCACACATTATCTATGCTCACATCAGCTGTCTTCATATCGCATTCAATATCATCCCTTCATCTCTTTTTTGGTCATCCTCCACCTCTTCTTCCTTCAACATTCATTTCTATAACTGTTCTTACAGCTTCTGGCTCTTCTCTCCTCATAACATGACCAAACCTATAATCCCTCTTATATGCTCGTTACTTATCTTATCTTCTTTAGTCACTCCACTCATCCATCTAAGCATTCTCATTTCTGCTACACTTATTCTCTGCTCTATTTTCTTATCAACCGCCCAACACTCTGAACCATATATCATAGCTGGCCTCATTATAGTCTTGTAGAACTTATCTTTTAGCCTGATAACATAACGGAGTCTGAACAGTTATGAAAAATAGACTTAGGACTAAAAATAAATAATCATTCATATTTCATAAATGCATATGTAATTGTAGAGCTTAATTGTAAATCATTATTAGATAATGATTTTAATATTGACAATAAATAAATAATTTATTTTTAAATTAAAGAAATAAAATTTAGTAAACAAAATAATTCAGTTAAAATGGACGAATTTTAGTATAATTTATTAGATGATTTAATAAATTATGTAATATTAATGTAAATAGAAATTCAGAATGTATAGCTAGTCTAAATCTTAAGGAAAATTATACAAACAAATTAATTTCTTCTGATAATATAACAATAGCACGCAAAACTAGAGTATAAGTAAAAATCGATGTAAGGTGAGAAATGAAAACAGATTTGGCTGTAGTAAAACCTAACTAAACCCGGATTATTACAACCTGTTCAGTTAGAATCTATTAAACCTATTTTTTCGTCTTTGCTTTGATTATCTAGGTTTGTTATCTATATCTAAAGGGAAAAAATATTTGATTACCACTTAAGTGGCTTTTGCAAAGGCAGTAGTTAATGTTGATGGGGTAATAAACTTTTTGATGGATATGATCACATCTTACAGTACTCCTTCCATTTTTATCATCGACAGAGGGACCTCATTTCGGAATAAGGAAATGGAATTATTGAGTGAGAATAAAATTTAGAATAAAAACAAGGTTTTAGTTTAGCATACCACTCTCAAAGTAATGGGAGTACAGAGTTGAGGAATAAAATAATATTTAATAGTTTAACACACTATGTAAATAACTACCAAAATGTATTATGTGTAACAAATGTATTATTATTTTGTATCTATCTTTCTCTTTTATACATGAGTCCAGCCTAGAGTTGAGTGATGATATTCCTACAATGTTGACACTATAAGCCTTGGATAGGCCTTTACACATAACTAGTGAAACAGTTACCGCACAAATTGTCCGGCTGGTATCAATAACTTTATTCCTTAGGCCTTCTCCGTTTTTAACTATTTTATTCCCTCTCATCTGTTGTCCTCGCGCACATCCGAGATGGGACAATCCGTTTAAGTTCTGTTTAACTCCTCATACTTTTGACAAAAATTTTGCACCGGATGTCAACATGATCCAACCTCATTAATCGCTTTTTACAATTGGCAGAGGGACCGTATACTTACAGAATTATTCTTATCCCCTCCACAAGTAACGTATATCTTGTAAATATTCTACAAATACGCAGGCCTACGTATATCTTGTGTGCATGCGTATACCTTAAAATAAAATAAAAATGTGAAACTATTTTAATACTTTATGAGTTTTAATTTAGCAGTGTACATTTTTATGGTTTAGTATAAGGGTGGAAATTTTAAAAAAGTTGATTATAAATCTATCTTAATTTAAAAATTCTGAGAAGTTGATAAAAGTTGTTGCTTTCATTATTGAGAATACTGAATTAATAATTTTTTTTAGATTTTGCAACTAATAATTAGTTAAATTATAAAAATTAACTTAAATAATACATATTGTGTTAATACACATTATGTGCAATGTACGTTTAATTAAAATATTTGTGTTTGTGAAATTCAACACAGAAGTTGGACTGAGATACATTAGTATATGTAAACATTTAAATTTTTATTTAGGTGTAACAGCATTTACTTTATTGAAAACTTGCAAAATTTTATAAAATCAGAAACGTCTACAAAAATTCTTCTTATTTTATTTATAAAAAATCTAAATACAACTCTAAAATCATTATTACGTGCGTTGGTTTTGCGACACCAAAATCATCTGTTTAATTGAGAACATGATTGATTTTTATACGATTTCAATGAAAATAGTAAATGGACGTTGAGCGTGTATATTTGTATGATTCAAAATATATTACACATGCAGTAGTTAAATTACCATGGAATAATTTCACGAATATTGTGACGTAATTAGTGGAAACCAATGAAAAATATAAGGATAGATTGTCGGTGGTGGTCTAGATCTCAAAGCCTGAATGTTATGTTATTATTAATGATCTAGTTGTAGGGTTGTTTCATTCAAAACGAAATATCGCGATATTACCAAATGGACATGCATCAGAAGTGGGGAAAACGTATTCAGAAAATGGAACGATCGAAGACACGGTGCTATATGATTACAATATTATAAAAGTTGTAAAGCGAGTATCGTTTTTTCTTTAACCATTCTGTTCATTGTCTGTCTATTCATTGTTGTACACAGATCACCCACGCCACTCGTATGTATATATAGTATTTTTTTTTATTTCCATTCATTAGTCGATCTCCCGCGGCGGATATATTTACCGCATGGAACTATCTATCTGCCGCGATACAGCCGCCAGAGATCAACCACGAACCCTGTGACGATGGGGGTTTACATCTCAAGTTTTGCCTCCACCTAAATAATAATACTGCAAACGGCGTTAAACACGATGACGACGACAATGATGTGCAGACGATGCTGCCGTTAGATTACGGTTTATTTTTTGTTATTTTAAGTTATCTTTGTTGCACGGTATTGTTGGCACACTATGATAAAGATTGAAAAAATATTGTTTCTCTCGTGTCATTGTTATATTCCATACTGTGTTGTGTAATACAATCAAAACATGATTATATTTAATTAATGATAAATCGTGCTGGTACATAATATTGGGCGCTTATAAATACAAAAAGCTCGTGCTAGTCTAAGTACGTGTGGTCTTGCACATGTTACACATTTGCTGTTTTTCGCTTATACTGATTTATTTGAGTATATACGTTTCTTTTTAGCTTCGATGCATAGATGAGAAGGTATTAATTTTATCATGATGTGTTTTTTTTTGTGTCTGTTACTACTTTTTCTCAGTTCTCACAGGACCGATTTCTTTCAACGATACGTCAAAAGATCACAAATCGTATCTAGTTGAAGACATTACCCTTAAAAATTGAAAAAATTTCCCTCGTTCCTCGTAAATGGGGAACATTTTTTTCACTTTTTTTTCTTAAAACTGCTATAAATTTTTGAAAAATGAATGTACAAATATAAATTTTTAAAAAAAAAATCTTAGGTATTTTCCTATATTTGATATAACTTTTTTGAAAATCTAACACTTAACCTGTTTATAGGGGGGAATTTAAAATAGTAATTTTTTTACAAAAACTAACTTATTCAACTTAACTTTTGAAAATGTTACGGAAATACTGCGTTCTTTAAACATATATCAAATTAAAGCTTATAACATGTACTACAAAATGAAAAAAAAAATTTATCCCGACAAATTATCTTCTTTGTGCAAATAGCTGTAGTTAAAAACATACTATTTTTGTGTTAAAATTTTCAACTTTAAATTTCTATAACTTTTCGAAAAATGTATGGATTAATACAATTTTTTTTCATAAATATTTTGTGTTTACTTCTTTTATTTGAAATACTTTTTTTAAAATTAGACCATTTTCCTTTATACAGGGGGGGCTTAAATTTTTAAAAATATGAGTAAAAAGTAGAACTTTTCAATTTAACTTTTGAAAATGTTCCAGAAATACTCAGAATTTTATATATATGTCAAATTAAAGCTTACAATAAATACTATAATTTCCAAAAAAATATTTGTCCCGACACTGTTTCTTCCATGGGAAAATTTCAAATTTAACAAAAATGTAATTTTTATGTAAAAATTACTGTTTAACATGAAATATTTTAACATTTAAAAATGACATAACTTATTGAAAAATAAACAAATTAAAATAATTTTTTTTATAATGAAACCATAGATATTTTTCTTTCATTTGATATAATTTTTTGAAAAACTGACTCTAAACCTGCCCACAGGGGGGATTCTAATAAGCAATTTTGCACACAAGTTAAGCTTTTTAAATTTATTTGCTGAAAATATTTCGGAAATATTGATACTTTTATTTTATCTTAAATTAAAG